TGACCCCATACGTCACGTGGTCACGTCACGCCGGTATCATTAAACCTGGCAGTTTATCCGATGTGTCGACAGAGGGTCGCTCCAGGCACCACCGGGACCCGACGGGACCCTCCAGGACCCAGGACCCCTTTTCGGCGACGGCACGGGCCAGGGCCGCCGGCCGCGCACCCCTATGGCGGCATATGGGAGGCGTGCGCTCGTCTGTCCGTCCGTCTCACAGTGGGCCAGAAGACCGGTGGAGGCGGCCAAAACTCCAGACGCGTTTTGAGCTCCAGAGTCGCTAAATGGGCCTCGAACCGAACGTGTGACCCCACCAATGGGTTGCTCTCCGAACGAGGAATCCATTGGTGGGGTCACACGCTCGGTTCGAGTCCTGTTTAGCGACTCTGGAGCTCAAAACGCGTCTCGAGTTTTGGCCGCCTCCACCGGTCTTCTGGCACACTGTGCGTCTGTCCGTCTGCCTGTCCTTTTCAGAATGGCGATGCGGCTTCGGACTTCGGACGCCCTGCGACTTTACCGAATTTCCAAAACCCGGGTTTCTGTTCAGGACGTGCAGAAATGCGTGGCACGGCGCGCTGCTGCAAGCAAGGCTGGGAGTACAAATGGGCTCCTGTTCGATGCCCATTGATGATCCCTCGGGCTTTTGATTGACTGCTCGAGGACCGGAGGCCCGGCGGGCTCCCCGCTGGGGGGCTTCTGAAGGAGGCAGGCCCGCCACCCACGCCCTGCATGCGCGCCCCGCGACCACACAGTGACACCAACAGAGTTGTTGTTGTGGTGGCAGACTTGGCAGACGGCGGCTCAATCAATGAATCGATGAATCGATGAACAGCGATCAGTGGTCGGGGCGGGATCGGGCGGGACCGGGCGGGACCCCACACAAGGACCGGCCAAGTGGCCCGAGACCCCCTGGGCTGGCAGGGCAAGGCAAGGCGCCCCCCTGTCGACAGGTCGATAGGTCGAAACGGTCTTCACACTTCAGAAGGTTGCTTCCTCTCCTTTCATACCAGCAGTGTCACTCCCGCATCACCTTCCTTTCTTTTCTGCGGATCGCGTTATCATCATTATTTTCCCTGTGCGTTTCTGTTTTAGTTTAAAATTTTCGACAACGTTCTATTAAGTTGCCCAGTCGCCAGTAATTCAGAGATTTTTGTCATGATTGCACAACGCGTTTGCCAGTAATAACAGAAATACCAGAAAAACGCGGAAAAATGAAGTACCCCGGGTAGGATTCGAACCTACGACCATTATTTAAGGACTGTATGACGCGCTACCAACTGCGCCACCGGGGCTTGAGTAGTAGGGCTGCACCCAGTCCGTACATTTCTGCTTCGCGTCCAGCCAAAGTGACTCATTCGCCCCGCAAAGCACCCGAGAGATGGCACCACAGTCGCGGCTGGGCCGAGGGTTTTCCAAAGGGTCCGGGCGGTAGGGGGACAAGCCGAGGTGGTGGGGGCGATGAGCCGTGCTGGTGGAGATCCCTAGTCGCTAGTCGTGTGTGGGGGCACAGACCCGTGCGTCTTAGCGTGCCTGGCCCGTGACGTCACTTTCCAGAAAACCCTGGCCAGGGAGCTGGTGACGTAATTCCGACGGTCGCCGCCAGAGCTGCCACTTTTGCTTTGCGGGGCGAATCAGAAACGTGGCCGCGTCTTCGGGTCACTGGCTCCGCGGCCGGACTGATTCAGAGAGTCTGTCTCTCTCGCACTCGTGGTGCGTGCCGTACAGGTGCGAGAGAGACAGAGCGACTACAGAAGTCAGTCTGCAGGCCGCCCGCCTGCTGGCGCGGGTAGCGGATACGGCACACACTCACACTCTGCTAATTATTCGGCGGAGTCGGGCCGACCGATTCGGGCGAGGGATAATTTGCGGGTCGGCCGGACCAGCCGAACCATGATTTGAAGACGAATCCCCGACTTGATGACATCGCAGTCCGCCATCAGGAAGGCGGCCCGGCCCTTCAGACCAGGCGAGAGGTCGGACAGGTAGAAAATAAAAAGGAGGGGGAGGACTCTTGTCATTTCCGCGTCTCGCATCCCCTCGACGACGGCGGCAACGAGGAGCCACCTCACACCCGCACACTCACCCACACACACACCCACACACACTCACTCACCCCCCACCCCCACCCCACCCCCCACAGTGGGCCAGAAGACCGGTGGAGGCGGCCAAAACTCTAGACGCGTTTTGGGCTGCAGAGTCGCTAAACAGGCCTCGAACCGAACGTGTGACCCCACCAATGGATTCCTCGTTCGGAGAGCAATCCATTGATGGGGTCACACGTTCTGTTCGAGTCCCATTTAGCGACTCTGGAGTTCAAAACGCGTCTAGAGTTTTGGCCGCCTCCACCGGTCTTCTGGCCCATTGTGCCCCCCCCCCCCCCACACACACACCCACCCACCCACCCACCCACACACACACACACGCACACACACGCTGCGCGCAGTCTGCGACTACCCCATCGAGTATCACGGTGTTGGACTCCCTCTCGGTTACCGCCGCGTGGGGGAGGCAGAGGGGTGCGTTCAGTGAGTTATGATTGTGTTGGCAGGAGTCATATCAAGCGAGGGGGGATGGGGGAGTGGACCGTACATTCGGTCCGTTCGGCTCCGCTGGCGTGGCCGGCCGGGCCGTTCGCAAGACAAAGAGGACCGCGGCGTCGGCGCGCACTTTGAGGGCTCTGTCTCTCTCGCACTCGTGGGGCGCGCTGCGGGCGTGCGAGAGAGACAGGGCGACGGTGGCGGTGCGCGTGCAGGCCGCGCCGCCGTGGCGGAGGCTCCCTTGTAAGAACATGCACGCGATCCCTGCGTCCCGGAGGCGGTCCTGTCCGCCGGCTTCTCGGGGTTCTCGGTGTTCTCCGGGTTGCCCGTGCGGGTTGCCCTAACGACGGGCGGCCGCATTGTTCGGGTGCCGCCGGGTACGCCGCGGCCAGGTGGCTGCAGTCCTTAGAGAAAGGATGCAGTCTGACGCCGAAAGCGTATTTCGTCGTTGTCTCTCTCGCAACCCCAGGATGCGCCCCATGAGTGCGACAGAGACAGAGAGACGAAGGCGCTGGCTGCGGTGTGCTGACCCGGTCAGGTGCGGCGGGCCACAGTGGGCCAGAAGACCGGTGGAGGCGGACAAAACTCTAGACGCGTTTTGAGCTCCAGAGTCGCTAAACGGGATTCGAACCGAACGTGTGACCCCACCACTGGCTCGCTCTCCGAACGAGGAATTCATTGGTGGGGTCACACGTTCGGTTCGAGTCCTGTTTAGCGACTCTGGAGCTCAAAATGCGTCTTGAGTTTTGTCCGCCTCCGCCGGTCTTCTGGCCCACTGTGCGGGCTGCAGCCTTGTGTAGTCCTACCGAGAAGGCCCCGTGCAGCCAATCGGCAGGGCAGGCCCCCGTGCGTCGCTTTCACGGGGTTCGAAGTTTGGTCTTGTTATTTCACGTTTTTAGAAAATCGGGGGACAAGAAAGAAAGCCGTCGAAGAAGAGGCGAATCGATAATCATCCGCGGGTCGCGCCCCCTGAAAACGAGAGTAGCCGTGTTACTTCGGCTTAGTCCCCACACCGGATTGAATGTCACGCGTGTGCAGTACGGTAGACTATCTCCCTTGACGCCAGCCCGCTGGATGGGGCTGGGGGGCTGGGACTTGGTTGCCCGGCCCGGCGTCGCCTCGCGGGTAGGCAGCCCATCGTGCACGGTGTGCGTTGGGCTGCCCGCGCGCACGGCGCCGAGGCCAGCTCCCACGGCCACATCGTCCTGCATTCCCTGCCGTCGCACAGTGGGCCAGAAGACCGGTGGAGGTGGCCTACACTCCAGACGCGGTTCGGGCTCCAGAGCCGCTGCACATGACTTGAACCGAACGTGTTACCCCAACAAAGGAGTCCTCGTTCGGAGAGCAATCCATTGGTGGGGTCACACGTTCGGTTCGAGTCCCATTTAGCGACTCTGGAGCGCAAAACGCGTCTAGAGTTTTGGCCACCTCCACCGGTCTTCTGGCACACTGTGCGTCTCCCACGCGTCCGGCGTCCCCGGGCTCTGGCGCCGAAATGCTAAAATCAAAATCAATAGAGGAATTTTCCGCGCGGAGCGGAAAGCGTATTGGGTGCGGCGGCGTGCGTCACGACACGCCGATGCCGAACAGTGCTTCGTCGCTCTGTCTCTCTCGCACCCGCAGGGACGGCAGGGACGCCCCTCGAGTGCGAGAGAGACAGAGCGACGAAAGCCCTGAGTGGAGTGGCGACTGCGTGTCGAGTAAGCAGCGGATTCCTCGGCGAGGCGATCGACGCGAAACGCGGCGGTCATTTGCGAGACTTAAGCCCCGCCGCTTGAATAATTACCCGGCGGTGTGGCACTGCACGGGATGCATTGGCAGTGCGCCAGCAGTGCCGCCAACCTCGCGAGTGCCTCCGCCACGCCTTCGATACAATGTCGCCAACCCAACCGGCAGCTGCGTTTATTGCGTGAACGTCGCAAGGTGGCGGCAGGCTGCTGCCTGGCTGCTGCCTGGCTGCTGCGTTCGGACTGCCGGTGCGCACAGTGGGCCAGAAGACCGGCTGAGGCGGCCTAAACTCTGGACGCGTTTTGTGCTCCAGAGTCGCTAAATGGGGCTCGAACCGAACGTGTGACCCCCACCAACGGATTCCTCGTTCGGAGAAGCAATCCATTGGTGGGGTCACACGTTCGGTTCCAGGCCCATTTAGCGACTCTGGAGCTCAAAACGCGTCCAGAGTTTTGTCCGCCTCCACCGGTCTTCTGGCCCACTGTGGTGCGGCCGGTTTACAGGAAATGACAAACCGCTTTGCGAAACAAGACGGAAGGCATCACTACATCACACCTTCACACCACCCGCCGCATGGCCCTGCTGCCACCAGATCGACCAAAAGGAACGGCAATTATTTTTCAATCGCATCGTTGCTAGTACTTTGCCGATGCGATCCGTGTTTTCTACACACAGGGAAGCGAAGAGAGAGACACAGAAACCCAACACTCGCATCTGCATTGTATTGTATTACCCATGAACGTAAGAATGAACTCACACACATACACACGACGTCGTGTGTGTAGCACTACTGGCCGACACTCCTCCACACACACGCACACACACACGCACACACACGCACACACACGCGCGCGCACACACACACACACACGAGCGCCCCTTGCTTCGTTTCCTGGACGAAGCAGTGGAAACGCATGAGTAGCCAATTAGCATGGCGGGCTATAGGCCGCTCGGATCTATGGAGCCGCCAGAACTAGAACCACTAGAACTAGAGCCACTAGAGCCGGCCACTCCACTGCCTTGCGGTGGAGTCGCACAGGCGCACGCGCGATGGCTTTAACGGCGCGCATATCGTCCCGTTGCGGTGGCCGCCGTGTCGTCTTGTTGTCTCCTTCTCTCTCTGGCACTCGCGCGGCGCGCCGTGCAGGTGCGACGGAGACGGAGGCGATCGCTAATGGCGCTGAGGCGCTGCCCGGCCTTCACCTCGTGCAGGGTCAGGCCGGGTCCTGCCCGCGGCACTGCGTGGCACTGCGTGGCACTGCGCCGCGCTGCGGCGTCGTCCTGGAGCCCGGAGTCTGGAGTCTGTAGTCCTAGAGTCTCCTGGACCCGGAAGGAGAAAAAAAATAAGCGCTCGTCAATATTTCCGACACGAGGCGGCGCAAGGTGCCACCGATGTCTCAGGCCGCCGCGGCGGGGGCTTTTTCCGAGGTTGGATTCCAGCCGAGATTCCAGCCGAGGTTCCAGCGCGACACTAGGGGACCAGCGAGCGCCCAGAAGTGCCGTTCTGTGGACTTCCCCCAGTGCAGCGCCGCAGTAGTTGTTTTTGAAGTTCAAGTGTGTACAGCTTCAGGATTTAGTCAGTGTGTATTTTGGTGTGCCGGTGCGGCGTGTCCGGTCTGTTTTCGGAGGGGGCTTCTGGTGTAGCGGCAGCACCCCGTGAAGGACCCTCCGCCCTCTGCCCGCCCACGCCCGCCTTGTGGGTTTGTTTGAACGGGTTGGTTCGGCCGGCGCGCGGCGTGGCGTGGCGGTGTGGCGGCGCGGCGCCGCCTATATAACCCTTGCCGCGGCATGGCCGCCGCTTGTCCGTCCGCGAGCGCGTTGCGAGCCGCATCGACCGAGGTGCGCGGCGTGACGAGGCGCGTGTGTGACTGACTGTGACGAGGCCTGTGACGATCAAGACGAGGCCTGCGACGAGCAAGCCCGCGCTTTTACGATGGCCCCCCAGGAGAGGCTCGACAAGCCGGCGTTGCACAACGAGGATGACGAGGGGCGGGGGCATGGGCAGGGGGCGGGGCTCGGTGCCCAGGACGCCCAGGACGCCCGCCCGCAGGGCACAGTGGCCGCCGCCGGCGCCGACGCCAGGGCTGTACCAGTGCAGCAGCAGGGCGTCGTCATGGACCCCGCCAGCCTGCCCCTCAAGGTCGCCGCCCTGGACGCCGTCCCCGAGGCCACGTCGCCGCGCTCCTCGGCGGAGACCCTGTCCGACGACGTCGACGTGCCCGCCGAGGCGGCCGAGGCCGGCGACAAGCCCCTGCTCGACTTCGACGACGTGCTGCCCCACATCGGCGAGTTCGGCTTCTACCAGAAGTGCCTCTTCCTCATGATGATCCCGTTCGCCTGGTTCGTGGCCTTCGTGTACTTCAGCCAGATCTTCATCACCCTGGTCCCCGAGGGGCACTGGTGCCACATCCCCGAGCTGCAGGACCTCAACCCGGACGAGAGGTGGGCATACGAGTGATGAGCGCATTATGCCCACGCCGGCATGCCGCCACGTGGTGTCGTCTTTTTTTATCGCCTGGAACTGGGTCACCAGTCTCTCTCTTTTTTACGCCGGCTCGCTGCCTGATGGCTGCATGGTGCATCCAGCCGTGCACCAGTCGCTCCTTTATTTGCCCCGCTCTTCCCGGGTCTTCCTGGAGAGCACGCTCCAGCCTCCAGGCTCCAGGCTCCAGGCAGTCTCCAGAGACAAGGCCGGCGCCCGCGCACAGTGGGCCAGAAGACCGGTGGAGGCGGCCAAAACTCTGGACGCGTTTTGAGCTCCAGAGTCGCCAAATGGATCTCGAACCGGACGTGTGACCCACCAATGGATTCCTCGTTCGGAGAGCAATCCATTGGTGGGGTCACACGTTCGGTTCGAACCGTATTTAGCGACGCTGGAGCTCAAAACGCGTCCACAGTTTTGGCCGCCTCCTCCGGTCTTCTAGCCCACTGTGCCGCAGCACCTCCGGGAGAGCCACGTGGCTGCCAATCCTGGACGGTGTCGCCTTTTCCCATTTCGTTGCCGCTCTCCCAGTGCCCCGCACGCGTTCTCCGACCCGGCCCTGCTTGGCCTTCCAGTGGGCCTGCAAAGCCTGCAAAGCCTGCAAACACCGAGTCGGCCAAACAGACGGCCGCCTTGCCTTCTCTGCAAAACTAGCCGCCTGGAAATGGAATAGGGTTCCGGGAGCAGCGCGGCGTTTGTGGTCCGGAGGCTCCGGCCGCTCCAGGCGCTCCAGCAGACTGATTCCGAGAGTCGTTTTCGTCGCTCTGTCTCTCTCGCACTCATGGAGCGTCCCGTATAGGTGCGAGAGAGACAGAGCGAATCATTCCGCAGGCGCTCCAGGCGCTCCAGGCCGCTCCAGGCGGTCGTCTCTAATGGTGATTCAATAGTTGTGCGCAGGCCGCACTGCCACTGCCCGCGTGCTGTACTGACTTACTGACACAAAGCACACACGTGCCTGCCTCCCCGCAGACCGCCGCCGCAGGCACACTGTGGCACAGCCAGCTTCGGCCACCTCTTCGACTCGGGCATTTCCTGCATCCGGGTCGCCTCGCCCTCGCCGCCTTCAGAAGGCCGACCGGCGAATTTGAACCCTCGCACAGTGGGCCAGAAGACCGGTGGAGGCGGCCAAAACTCTAGACGCGTTTTGAGCTCCAGAGTCGCTAAATGGGAGTCGAACCGAACGTGTGACCCCACCAATGGATTGCTCTCCGAACGAGGAATCCATTGGTGGGGTCACACGTTCGATTCGAGTCCCATTTAGCGACTCTGGAGCTCAAAACGCGTCTAGAGTTTTGGCCGCCTCCACTGGTCTTCTGTCCCACTGTGCCTCGCCCTCGTTCAGGTCGTGCCCTCACAGGATCCTCAACCTCCAAGAAGTCGCGCAGCATTTTCTTTTAAGGTTTTTTTTTAGTGGGGTTGTGCCCTGGAATAGCGGTCGTAGACACACCTCTTGTTCTAATCTGGGGCCGTTCTGAGCGCATGCCGTGCCCTTTCCAATTAGCATCGCCCGGTCCGGCCAATTGAGTCGCCGGGCAGACGGACGGACAGACAGACAGACAGACAGACAGACAGACAGACAGACAGACAGACAGACAGACGAACAGACAGACAGACAGACAGACAGACAGACAGACAGACAGACAGACAGACAGACAGACAAACAGACAGACAGACAGACAGACAGACAGACAGGCAAACAGACAGACAGACAAGCAGACGGATAGTCAGACAGACAGACAGACAGACAGACAGACAGACGGACAGACCGTACGTCTAGAGCACATACATCGCCATTGACTGCAGCAGCTTTTAGAAGCTGCATCGACAGGTCGTTTGTCTGAATCGACTTTTGAGCCGCGAGCCGTCGATTCCATGACGTCGTTTTCATTTCGCTTCGCCTCGTCCTCCACTTCACTTTACCCGACCTATCAACGGAAACATAGACCACACCACGCGAGATGCTGTTAAACTGAGGCCAAGTGTCATTCCTTCACCCAAAAAAAAAAAAGAACCTAATTATTTTCTACGTTTCAAGTGAAAATGGCTTCCGCCTGTGCTAATGTCTTGTTTCATCTCTGGCTGAGTGAGGAAGAAGAGGAGGGGAGGGGGGGGGGAGCGCTCGTGTCTCTCGCGAATAGTTTGCACACCTCTCGGCGATGACATGCGTGCCGCGAGTGCATCGGATCAAATAGCGATCGTGCACGCATAGACACACACACACGCTAGCGCGAACGCACACACATATCCAAACACACATTGCGCCCCGATGGCTACACACATACACATGCAACACATGCATCACACACACACACACACACACTCAGACGCCCGCACGCACGTGTGCGTGTTACGCATACATCATTGCCGCCGGCTAAATACCCGGGAGCACTTTGCGCTGCTGGCTGGCTTGCTGGCTGGCTGGCCGGCGGATGTGTGGGCTGGAAGAGAGCATTACTCAGTGAGTCATTTATTCCTGGACATGGACGGACGGACATCCTCGGGGATGCCGTCGTCGCCGCGGGATCGGGTGTTGCAGTGTCGCGACCTCGCGGCCGCGCGGCCCCGCGGGATCGCATTATATTCCCGAGCCGCTGTAAACCAGAAACTAGAAAAGTGAGGCGGATCCGCGGGCGGCTTGCATCTCATCTTCATTTTTCATTTCATTTTCTCCGCTCCCATAGCTCTGGCGGCTCTGGCTGTAGACACACACCAATCGCGAGGCCTTTGGCGTCGCTTCCGCGTCGCGCCGCATCGCGCCGCGTAGTGCCGCCATGGCGCCGCGCGGCGCGAGGTGCGAGGGAAGGCTGTGGACTGGAAGTGGTGCGACGCATCCCGGTCGCTATTATTAAATACCACATTTTCCCCGGTCTGTTGTTTATTGGAGTACCGTTCCCTTCCTTGCGGCGGCCGCACAGTGGGCCGGCCGCGCCAGCGCGTGACAGGGTTTTCGGTGGTAGTGCCTCACCCACGCGCACACGCGCGCGCACACTGCTTGCAGGCTGGCGCTGGGCGTGCCCAAGACCGCCGAGTTGGGGTACGCGCGCTGCCTGCAGTACGACGTCAACTTCACGGAGCTGGTGCGGCAGGGCGTGCGCCAGGCCGACCCGTCCTGGCCCACCGTGGCCTGCCGCCACGGCTGGGAGTTCAACCGCACCGAGGTGCCCTACGAGTCCATCGCCGCGGAGGTACGACGCTGTCCCTCTCGCACTCCTGCAAGTGCGAGAGGGACAGACCGCTGACTTTGCGAACGCCGCAGCTGGAGTGGGTGTGCGACAACGCGGCGCTGCCCAACGTGGCGCAGTCCGTGTTCTTCGGCGGCGCCATCGTCGGCGGCCTGCTGTTCGGCTGGGTGGCGGACCGCTGGGGCCGCGTGCCCGCCCTGGTGGGCTCCAACATGGTGGGGCTGGCGGCCGGCATCGCCACGGCCTGGGCCGGCTCCTTCTGGGTCTTCGCGCTGTGCCGCTTCTTCGTGGGCTTCGCCTTCGACAACTGCTTCACCATGATGTACATCCTGGGTGAGTGCGGCATCGGGTTCGAATCCCGGTGGCGGCTTCTTGCATTTCCATTATCGCCAACCCGGAAGAGATCGGCACGGCGCACAGTGGGCCAGAAGACCGGTGGAGGCGGTCAAAACTCTAGACACGTTTTGAGCTCGAGCGTCGCTAAGCAGGACTCGAACTGAACGTGTGACCCCACCAATGGATTCCTCGTTCGGAGAGCAATCCATTGGTGGGGTCACACGTTCGGTTCGAGTCCCATTTAGCGACTCAAAACGCGTCTATAGTTTTGTCCGCCTCCACCGGTCTTCTGGCCCACTGTGCGGCGCCGCGATTCGGAACGCGGAACTGAGAGTGACTGAGAGCGACTGAGAGTGACTTGCGGCTCCGCGGCGACGCTTGCAGCGCTTGCAGCTTGCAATGAGTCGCCCGGCGCCGCGAAGATGGATGGACGGACGGATGGACCGCCACGCATGCCACGCCACTGCGAATAGGCGAGCCATTTTGCCATCCATTTCCACGAGTTTCCTCATTTTGACGGTCGAGGCCTTGACCGGAGAACGCGTCACTTTTTCCAGTGCTGGAGTACGTCGGGCCCAAGTGGCGCACCTTCGTGGCCAACATGTCCATCGCCATCTTCTTCACCATGGCGGCGTCGCTGCTGCCCTGGCTGGCCTACTGGCTGGCGGACTGGCGCCTGCTCTGCATCGCCACCTCGGCGCCCCTGCTGCTGGCCGCGCTCACGCCCTGGCTCGTCCCGGAGAGCGCAAGGTCACCGTCAAAGTTACCTCCAAATTGAAATTTAAAAAATAGCTAAGATTTAAAAACTAAAAAAATAAAATACTTTTAAAATTTGTCCAGGTGGCTGGTGTCGCAGGGCCGCGTGGAGGAGGCGCTGGTCATCATGAAGCGCCTGGAGAAGTCCAATGGGACCGCGGTGCCCGCCGGCGTGTACCAGCAGTTCGAGGTAAGCGTGCGTCGGCGAAGGCGGCGAAGCACAGTGGGCCAGAAGACCGGTGGAGGCGGCCAAAACTATAGACGCGTTTTGAGCTCCAGAGTCGCTAAGCAGGCCTCGAACCGAACGTGTGACCCCACCAATGGGTTCCTCGTTCGGAGAGCAATCCATTGAAGGGGTCACACGTTCGGTTCGAGTCCCATTTAGCGACTCTAGAGCTCAAAACGCGTCTAGAGTTTTGGCCGCCTCCACCGGTCTTCTGGCCCACTGTGCGAAGGCCTCCCTCATACCTGGCGCTCCTCGCGGTGTCGCGGTGCGGTGACCAGTGCAGTGACGCACCAACCGACCTCTTTCTCTCGGCCCTCCAGGACAGCTGCATCAAGCTGAAGAAGCAGGAGGACGCCGACAAGACGTACTCCGTCGTGGACCTGTTCCGCAGCCCGCGCCTCCGGAACACCACCCTGCTGCTCATCGTCATTTGGTGAGGCGAGCCCTCTCGTTGTCGGGCCTCCGAGTCGACGATCGGGAATGAAACTTTACGCCGGCATTGTCCGTGGCCTGTTAGCGCTGTTCGCGCTGTTAGCCTGGCCGGCAGTCTTTACGAGCGTCAGCGACCGCCGCCTGCGAACTCGAGGGTAGGCAACCCGGCGAGCCCACGTGCTCGACAGAGCGGCCTGCTCTTTAGTCCGCAGGCGCTCCGGCCGGCTGCACAGTGGATCTACCAGAAGGCCGGTGGAGGCGGCCAAAATTCCAGACGCGTTTTGAGCTCCAGAGTCGCTAAAAACGACTCGAACCGACCGTGTGACCCCACCAATGGATTGCTCTCCGAACGAGGAATCCATTGGTGGGGTCACACGCCCGGTTCGATCCCCATTTAGCGACGAGCTCTGCACGCGTCGAGTTTTGGCCGGCTGCGCCGGTCTTCTGGCCCACTGTGCGCTCTGGCTTCTCTGACTCCCCTCTCGTCCCTGCTGTGCCGCCAGGATGATCGTGTCCCTGGTGTTCGACGGCCACGTCCGGAACGTGGGCCAGCTGGGCCTGGACGTGTTCGTGACCTTCACGGTGGCGTCCGCCACCGAGCTCCCCGCCGACTCGTTCCTCACCGTCGTCCTGGACCGCTGGGGCCGGCGCTGGCTGGCCTGCGGCTCCATGGTCGTCAGCGGCCTCTTCAGCCTCGGCGCGGTCGCGGCGCCGCCCGGTAAGGAGTGAGCACAGAGCCATTATTGCAGGCCTGCACTTTGGCCGAGCACTCAAAACAAAGTCCCTGCCCGCAGGAGTGGTGTCCGCGTCGCTGGCCATCATGGGCCGCTTCAGCGTCAACATCTCGTACAACATCGGGCTGCAGTACGCCGCCGAGCTGCTGCCGACCGTGGTGCGCGCGCAGGGCGTGGCACTCATCCACATCATGGGCTACGTGGCCAGCATCCTGGCGCCCTTCGTCGTGTACCTGGTGAGTGCGGCCGGCCCGCGCAGCCACCAAACGGAAAGCACCTTGAGGGGGATTTGAACCCGGGCCTTGTCGCAGTCGGTGGTCCACCCCGCGCTGCCGCTGCTCATCCTGGGCTCCATGGGCGTCGTCGGCGGCGTCCTGGCGCTGTTCCTGCCCGAGACCCTGGACCAGGACCTGCCGCAGACCCTGGCCGACGGCGAGCAGTTCGGCCGCGACCAGCGCTTCTTCGAGTTCCCCTGCTGCGGCACCCGGTGAGCACACACTCCTAAACTTACCACTCTTGCACCGAATTTCGGTTGACACTGTTGGCGTCCTCCTTGTCCAGGCCGATGGAGACGCCCAAGCCCGCGCTGTACAGAGCGACCTCGCACAGGGCGTCCTTGAGGGCGTCGACGCGCGGCGAGGCGCTGCGGTCGTCCATGATACACAGGGGCTCCATCAGCTCCAGGAGATCGGCCGGCAAGAGGTCCTCGGACGACTCCTCGCACGCCGGAGCGGCCGGAGCGGTGGTGTGAGCACCGGCCGGTAGTTCCGTAATTTATTGTACAACAAAATAACGAGGGGTCAACCACTCGGGTAATCGTGTGTACACTTCGTCCAGTGGTCATTGGCCATTAGTCGTCAAACCTGGCTATTTTCGCTGTTTTTATCGGATTTTTAAAAAATGAAAATAGCCCAAAAATGCTCTTAGCTGGCCAAAATTATAGAGTTTTTTGAGTATTTTTTGTAGGTAATCGCCGGTAATCAGTAATCCTGTGTACACTCCTGAGCTGAGTGGTGGACCCCTTGACAAATAACTGAGCGACGGCGATGAGTGGAGCATTATTTATTTTGTGTGCAGCAGGGGCCGACTACCAAAGACGTTTTCATCTTTTTTTGTGATATTGTGGAGCGTGAGTGGCACTAGTACCTGACTCGTATCGTACATTCAGTCATGTAAAACCAGAGTGAATGAATAAATTATTTTGTCCTAAAATATCTAAATGTTTCTTTCCATTTAAAAAAACAACCATTTTGCACACACAAACAAAGATACGACAGTCCTCGCACTTCGGCTTTTGAAAGTTGGCGCGCATGAACAAGGAACGGAACGGAAATGAGTCCCTCCGCCAATCAGCGGAAAGCTGCGCAGCAGACGTTTTTCACGTGCGCGCAAAGTACCTGCTCCGGAATCTCGACAATCGCTGGAAAATGACAGTTCTGTAACGTAGTAAGTACACCGCACTTTAGAACAGATTGCTGGTCTTTCTTTCTACTTCTCGAAATGAACCAGCCAATAGTTTGCCGCGAGACGGGTGTCAAAGCACAACTTTCCGGGAACTGTGCCTAACCTCTCTACAACACTAACACCGCAGGGGCCCCCTTTTGTTATTACCAGTTTGAGTTAAAATTGGATTAAACCGTTTTGAGGCAAGGTAATTCTGTCAGAGGGCAACAGTCAAATTATTTGTAGGGCAAGCTTAGCACCATGCTTAGGAGATGTACACGTAACTCACTGGAAGGGCCAAACAGTTTATAAGTCTTGTCTTGCAACACCCAAACTGTGACATTGACAGAAACTAACAAATATTTTCTCGATTTATCTCACCTCTCTTATTTGTCTGATTTTAGCTATGTCATGCGATGAATTCAAATTGGTGACGTCCAGACGCAGAGGTAAAAATTCGAAGAGAGCTGCATCGAAACCAGTACAGTTCAACAAACAGGGAGAGACAGACACCATAGTCAACATCGAGAAAGAACTACAGTAAGTTCAATTATAATGCATTCATCAATTACGGTTTTCAAGTATGGCTAAATTTTCGCACTATGAAACAGAATATTCTTGACACTGTTCAAGCTGCCACAATGTATGCTTTTGCAGGAAAATTATCAATGCGAGGTCTACATTAGACGAGACACCATTTAAAGAGGGTGTACAAAATATTTTGCAGAATGCTTTGGATTTGCGTGGAGAAATTTCAATAGCAGAAATAATTTGCTATGGTTTGGGCCACTTTACAGAGTGCAGTATTGCTCGTTACCAGTTAGCTCTTCTCCTTTCTGTGAAGGAACTTTTTAAAGGGATTATTTATGTTCATGATCCCATCTTCCATACTTCTGAGGTAAACATACTCAAGGAATTAGGTTTCATTATCATTGAGGAGAACGAAGAAGGCAAACGTGAGTTGTCCACGTCTGGCACAACCTTTTTGTATTTACCACATTGTCCTAAGCAGCTTGTTAATAACTTCCTTTGGAAAAACTGGGGCCCTCGTTTAAAAGATTGTATAATTTTTGGCAACAGTTTCTCTTCAATTGTTGAAAGACAAACCTTGACTGATCAAAGATTAACTTATTTTCTGGCGAAAATTCAGCCATACGTTGAAGAATACCCCATTGACAACAATTTCAAATTTTTGGATGTTTTCAATGACACTTCTGTTCATGTTTTCTCAGAACACAAGCTTTCTCAGTTGCTGCCCACATTTTGGTCTGAAAACCGAGCAGAGCCAGTATATCCTGATAGCGACCTCGAACTTATTTTAAAGAAGCCATGACGTTGCCCAACTCTATGAGAGTGTTAAAACAAATAGCATCGGAGGTTCGTATGAGTTCATCATATGAAAAAGTCCATAGTGAATCTCCATTGATGAAGTACGTCCTGGGACAGTACCATAAGTACAGAGAGACGGACCAGCAGCTATGCAAAGCTCAAGAGGAAATGGAAAACATTGCTGGAACCTATCTTTGCTACCTGCAGAGTCTTCGCCGCACTGCAGAAATACACCAAACTTACAAAGGAAAGGGAGAGCGTTCAGTTGAAGAAACCGCTAATATGGTTGGATTCAAGCTCCCCCATGATCCGAAGTAGAGTGTGTATTAAACCTTGTTTCTAGTCAGCCTTCTCTTTTCCCAAAATGGGCCTTTGGTGCTTAGTGGTCATCAGCTTTCTAGCCAATATTCTAGTCCCTACTGGGGCTGGAAATTTAAATGTGTGTGGCACCAGACAGTTCAAATTAGCTGGTATGGAGCAATGTCATAGTTGGCTAAATTGTTCTGATCTGAAGAACTTGAAATTTGGAAGGAGAATAGATGCGGGTTCAACTAAATTAGTCCATGCCGCATCATGGAATGGTCTTAATGTTGTTGTTTTGAGATTACATAACATCAACTACAAATCTGATTTTGATCATGGTCTAGACATGTTGGAAAAATATAACCCTAGTAAGTTTGTTGTACAGTTGATTGGTACTTGTAAAAAGGCCAGCATGTTTGCTGCTGAATATTATGAGCTAGGTAATGCTACCAATATCCTATCAGTCATTAATAAAAGATATGGTAATCAAAATATTGTTGTACGATTGAAATTATGCCTAAATTATGCTCGATTATTAGAATTTCTTCATGATGGTCCTGCTGGGACAAGAGTGATGTGTGATTCGAATGACCTAGGAAAGCTCTTAAGCCAAATGTTGATCACAGATGATGTGGAGCTAGTTCTCAATGATTTAGATGCACTTCCATTGGTTGATAGAGATGCAGGAACTAAAATTAAATGCGGGAGTAGAGAATTATTTGGAGACTTTGTTGCACCAGAACAAAAGTGGCCCTTTAGTGGGGCCTTCAAAGATGCTGCAATGCCTGGATATGATGAAAAAACTGACATATGGAAGGCTGCAGAAGTTTTCAAATATTTTGTAAGTGACATTGATGTGAAGTTTGAGTGGGTTCGGTATAGATTGTTCAATCTGATAAAAAGTTGTAAAAATCCTGATCCAAATTTGAGACCATCAGCTAAGTACTTAGTAACTGTGCTGGAGAAAATTTTAGCAGAAGTGCACTCTGTAAAAACTGAATTATAAATTTAAGGACCTATTTGTATCGTAATAAATGTGATAAGTGACAAAGAAAATATTATAAAAAAGTGTAATTGTTTATTTCATTCTAAGCTTACAACTTACAACCTAAATCACATAACCAGTATCAGTCAATTATCCTAATTTTCAATAATATATATATTTTTTTTTTCAAATAGTTAGTAAAATCCTTAGTAATTTATGCAACATACTCCTTCTCTAGCATCTTGGCAATGGTGTTCAGTTGAATATTAGATGTGCCTTCATAGATTGATCCTATCTTACAGTCTCTGTAATACTTTTCCTGAGGGAAATCTTTAGTAAATCCAACTCCTCCCATCCAATCTACACACTTGGAAGTAGTATTGGCTGCAACCTCTGAAATTTTAAGATAAAATTGATTAAATTTACACCTCTATAACGCATTTAAAAATTATGGTATGAAAGTCAGCTCTTACCGCATGCCCAATATTTGGCCATAGCTCCCTCCTTGATAATGTCTTTACCAGCATCGTGAAGGCGAGAGGCATTGTAAACTAACAATCTAGCGCTCTCGATTTGAGTGGCGATCTGTGCAATTTGGTGTTGCATACCCTGAAAATGAGTCACAAAAAATTAGTTAAAGCATACAAAAGCAGCATCTTTCAAATTACACTTCTATTTAAATCTCACCTGGAAGTCAAAAATACGCTTGCCGAATTGTTTACGCTCTAGAGTATAGGGAATTGTGGCGTTAAAGCATCCCTGGGCAAGTCCAATCATCTGAGCTCCAATTCCAATGCGGCCTTCATTCAGAACCTCGATAGCGTACTTGTATCCCTTGCCAATCTCTCCAAGGATATGACTGTCCGGAACCTAAAACAAGTAACTCGCTCAAACAGTGCACGTTTGATCAAAGACAACAGTGATCCACCCCAATGCGACTTACCTTGACATTGTCAAAGTGCACCATGCAGGTACCAGAGGCACGGATTCCAAGCTTGTCTTCCTTCTTGGCTACAGTGAGGCCGGGAGTATCACGCTCCACGATGAAGCAGGTGATGCCCTTGTAACCCTGTGGCGAAAATAATTTGTTTTACAGTTACAAATATGTTTGGGGAATGCCATGACACTTTTCTCCACGCCTGCCCTTACCTTCTCCGGGGCCACGTTGGCCATGACGAGGAAGATTCCAGCCAGGTCCGAGTTGGAGATCCACATCTTGGTGCCGTTGATGACCCAGTCATTGCCCTCCTTCTTGGCGGTGGTCTTGAGCGCGAACGCGTCGGAGCCCGATGTAGGCTCAGTCAGGCAGAAGCTGCCCACCTGTCAACATAATGGGGCTCTCGTCAAACTCGTTTTTCTTCGGCTGATTGTAAATTATTTTTTTTCCAAGTAGTCGTCGGCTTACCGTGTTCTGCGCCAGGCGCGGCAGGTACTTGGCCTTCTGCTCGGGGGTGCCGTGCTTGCGGAAGGGCGCGTTGACCAGGGTCTGGTGGATGTCGCAGAAGGCGCCCACCGAGGGGTCGATCTTGGACAGCTCCTCCACGACCAGCATGCACGTGAAGAAGGACGACTCGGAGCCGCCGTACTCGCCGTCCACCTCGATGCCCATCAGGCCGTTGTTGAACAGCTCGCTCACCACGCTGGGGTCCAGCGTCGAGCTCTCGTCCATCTGCCGCACCAGGGGCTGGATCTTCTCCTGGGCGAGGCGCGCCACTGCAAGGGCAAGCCGTTTACAGTGTTACATTTCCGTTCGTTTTCACGCTTTCCTTCGGGGAAGGCCAAGAGAGGCCGCGGCGCTTGGCCTTCCCTCCTGACTTATCGCAGCGAGCCGTGCACGATGGGTTGCCTACCCAGCCGGCGCCCCGAGCCGCGCCGCAGCGCTCAAGTCATTCTTGACATTTTGTTTTACGATTTTTAGTATCTTTCATTCTGTTTATTCTTTTAACTTTCGCAATCACGATTGTGCCATCTCTGACCCTAGTCGGTCATCAGCGCTCGGGCGATTATTAGGCAACCTCTCGGACATGTCAATCAGTTTATCTGATGCTATTTAACGTCATTAAAAAAGAATGTTTCAAGAAACAAGTTTTCTAATCACTAATTATCTGCATGAGCGAGCCGCTTACTGCAGAAATCGTTTCTCCAAGCTGCAGACTCGGCCGTGTTGCACATTTTGCGTGCACTGAAAAACCAAACGTGGTCTAGACCGCACCAATCGTGGCCAAACGTGGTCTAGACCACACCAACTGATGTGGTCTAAATGGCATTCATGTGACCACACCAGTGGTGCGGTCTGGACCACGTTCGGTTTTTCAGTGTGGTTGCAGGTGGATTGCACGACCAGTTGCCTACCCACAAGGCGTTTTCTTAAAGGCCAAGAGCCTCCTCCCCACCCCTTCCCCCTGGATAGGCGCCTTTGCACGCTCCCTCGAAATGAGCAAACCAAACGCGAAAAACAAAATGAAGTTGAACCGGGTGTCGAACCACTCACCTGTCTCCTTCATCATGAGCTCGTCGTCGGAGAGGAAGGTGAGGGGCAGTGTGCCGCCCAGGGCCTGCTCGTGGGCCTCCTGGGCCTGGGGGCGCGCGCTCTGGGTGCTCGTCGTGGTGGTGGAGGCCGCGGCGGCGGCCACGCGGCGGGCCTCATTCTGGACCCGGGACCACAGCCCCGACGTCCCTGCGACCTGGCGGCACCAAAATCAAACACATTCAGAACAAGAAGGCTCCTTTTTCTTAAACCGCCTCCCGAAATGGGGCGATTGGAGCGGCCCGCGCCGCGCGGATAGAAACAGGGCGTCCTTCACTCGGCGATAGCCGCAGTCGCCACGCGCGCCTGACGATAACAGCGAATTGGCAAATGTTTTCGAAATTGTGTTGACTCGGTTACTTGCTGAGCGGCGGGTATGTTCAGCTGTATAGCGTGTCCAAGTCGGGGCTCTCGTCAACAGGTGCGCGGAGTGGGGCGGGGCGGGCGGGGCGGGGCGGGGCGGGGCGGGGCGGTCTCTCTCGCGGGGCGGGCCGGGCGGGGCGTCCCGCGGGGGTGCGAGAGAGACAGACTGCCGGGCTCGACGCGCTGGGAGGCGTGGACACGTTCTCCTTGTGGAGTGGCCGATCACCGCGGGGCCTCGGGGGCTCGCCTCAAGCCGACCAAACAGCCAGCTGACTGATTCCGGGATCTTCGTTGCTCTGTCTCTCTCGCACTCGTGGAACACCACGTGTGGGTGCGAGAGAGGCAGAAAAAAAAGACAGAAAACGACTCTCGGAATCAGTCTGCGGGCGGCTAAAATAGCCTCGCAAATATTATGTCGCGTGTTGTTCGGATTCGCGTGCCACTCCGCCACGCCACTCCGCCTAGCGGGCGCTAGGTGTTGTTGTTATCACGTTATCAGCCGCAAATAGACGTGTTTGCCGCGTTTACAACCCCCCGCGGAGCCGGAGCCTCCAAACGCACGCGCCGGCACACGTCGTCAGTAGACCGATTCCGAGAGTCGTTATCATCGCTCTGTCTCTCTCGCACCTGCACGGGACGCCCCATGAGTGCGAGAGAGACGGAGCGACGAAAATAACAACTCTCGGTATGAGTCTACAACAGGTGCGGTGGCGTACAGTGGAGCGGGCAGTGGGGCTCGTTTGTCATCGCCCTTCAAAAACAAGAGGGCGCCTCGCGAGTGTTTTTGAAGCAAACAAGGAGCAGCTCGTCCTTGGCATTGGAAACTAGGCGGAAGAAGGGAAGGACTCGAGTTGGGCGCGCGCCTCCAACGGGATCAACGGACACCGTAAGTGTATTTGAACATTTTTCGTCCGAATTCGTACGCAGAACTGCACGAAACTCGTGCAATACTTTGTACAAATTTGACCGACGCATGCGCAAAAATTGTTTTTGGAAGGGGAAAGTAGTGAAGGGCCAAGCGACGAACCAATCCAAGGGCGGCAAGCGAGGGAAATGCCGATTCCTTAGACTCGTTTCATCCCCCTGTTGAGACGGATTGAGACAGGGCACTCAAGGGGCGTTGCGTGGCACAGTGGGCCAGAAGACTGGTGGAGGCGGCCAAAACTCTAGATGCGTTTTGAGATCCAGTGTCGCTAAATGGGACTCGAACCGAACGTGTGACCCCACCAATGGATTGCTCTCCGAACGAGGAATCCATTGGTGGGGTCACACGTTCGGTTCGAGTCCCATTTAGCGACTCTGGAGCTCAAAACGCGTCTGGAGTTTTGGCCGCCTCCACCGGAGCGCGGTGAAAACGAGTCCTCGTCGAACCGCGTGGCAGGTGCATCACGTCGCCGGCGAGCTGTTCAAAACAAAATGACACGGCGCGGGGCGTTCTGTCTCTCTCGCACCCCTTCGGTTTGTCCACTTGGACGACGGCGTGCTCACCTTGCGGAGGACTCTGCTGGTGTTCATGGTGCCTGCTGGGGTGCTGGTGCCGCTCTGCTGCTGGTGGTGCTGCCCGCTCCGCTCTACGCTCCGGACAGCCCGCTCTGAACTGAACGGCACGCCGGCGGCCTGCTGCTGCCCGGGCCCGCCGCGGCTGTGGCCGCACGCCGCTGACTGATTCCGGGAGACGCCTCCGTCGCTCTGTCTCTCTCGCACCTACACGGGCCGCCGCGTGAGTGCGAGAGAGACAGAGCGACCAGAACGACTCTTGGAATCAGTCTACCGCCGCACGCCGCACCGGCTGAGTAGGGGCTGCGTGCGAGGAGGCGACCAGCGCGTCCGAGGGGGGCGACTCTCTCGCACACACACACTCACTCTCACTCACACACTCGTACTCTCGATCGAGATGGCGATCCAAAATATGAGGATGCTTCCAGGGGGTGTGAATCTGGCACTTTGGTCAGGAGGTGGGGGGGGCCTGTTTGGGGAACGATTTCATGCCAACTTCCATTAAGGGAAGTCCACTTGGCGAAAGCCGCGAATTTTACACTGACGTCGTCGGGAAGAAAGACGGCAGTTCGTGATTGATATTTCTGACGGTGTGGGAGAGGGGCTGAGGGGCTCGTCTGCCGGACTGAATTCCAGTCTATCTGTCTCTCAGGTGCCTTCCAGTGCACCAGTACCCTCCCTTGACGAGCTCTGACAGGGAACAGGGCGGGGCCCCGCCGCCGCCGGGGGGCAGCCGTAAGCGACAGGCGCGGATCCTGTATTTTCCCCAGGAGGGTAAACGATTACTCTTTCGCCGTGTGCCAAAAACTTACGAAGGAGTATTTTCTCTCGTAAACGGTGGTTCGAACAACGTAGGGCTAAAGGAATTCCCTTGGATGCGACAGAGCTCCGTTGCGCGGCGCGTGTGTGGTGACCCTGAGTGTGGGAATTTGATAAGACCTATTTCACCAGAAGGCGCGGCCTACGTACGTCACTGAGGGAAAGGAGACCACCCAATTAGAATCGACGCTTCACACCGACTGCCGAGGGTCGCTAAATGTCCGTCGGGGTCATCTCCGCCTGCACTAAAGCCTGAAAGCCCGCCATGGGTCTGCATGCAGTGCACTGCACCGCACTGCAAGACACGTCAAATATTTAGATAGCAAGTCCCCCGCAACGGTCAGCTGGCGTGGCCGGGGACTGGGGCTGGGGGGCCTCGCGGAGCCGCACCCACTTACACACACACACACACACACACACACACACACACACACACACACACACACACACACACACACGCTGCAGCCGCCGAGGGTGAACGGGCTCGACCGGGCCGGATCAGTGCATCAGTGTCCAGCTGGCACAATGCAATCGCACTCGTATTGCCGCCTCTGTGTTTGTCTGCTTCTGTTCGCCGATCTGCCGATCTGCCTTCGTCTGTCTGTCTGTCCGCGTTGCGACACGCGCCACGCCCCAATTGTCGGATTGAGTACTACCCGGGGGAGGTGGGGGGGGGGGGGGGGTAGAACGGATAGACGAGGTTCATCCCACTTGACATGTGTTGGCGGGTGCTTTCGGTCACTGCCAGTCTGGCTTCGGTTTTCCAGGACCGAGGGAAGTACCACCCCTTTCGACGAGAAGACCTCCCTCCACCGCCATAGGGGGTTGTTCCATGTCGCGTCCCCATCATCCCATGCTGGCCGTGTAACAAGTCCCTCCAAGATTTCACCACTGGGCCAAATTACACAAACGGGGATGTGAACTTTGACTGACTTATGTAACTATCTGGGCCGTTTCCCTCCAAGTCAATGTTCGAGAAAGACGGAGAAAGACGGGACGAAAACAAAAGGCCGGCCTGGCCACCCGCGGCGTCGACACAAAGAGACGACACGGAGACGGGGAAGGACGACGCGAAGTGACGTGTGAGTGACACGAGTGACGCGACTGACAGCAGAAACGGGGGCAATCTAGTTATTCCAAAGAGCCGTTCTTTGGCTCTCTCGCACCCCTGCGGAACCCCCCATGAGTGCGAGAGAGACAGTGCTCCTCGGAATGGCAGGTCCATGCACTCCACAGTGCAGTCAACCCCTTTCCTTTGCCATCTCGCCGAGTACTCGAGTACTTACGTCCGGAGAGACCGCGCGCGGATCACCAAGGACCAAGGCGTGTGTGCGGGATAGATAGACTGCGGGTAGCTGGGGGACCACCGGACACGGTGCAATTTGCAATTGCGGGTCTGACCCCCCCGAAAGCCGAAACAGCCCGTTTCCGTCGGCGGGAATAAATGACTGCAAGATAAGGCGGGCGCGCGTGCCAGGGAGGAGGGAGACGATGCACAGTGGGCCAGAAGACCGGTCGAGGCGGACAAAACCCCAGACGCGTTTTGAGCTCCAGAGTCGCTGAAAGGAACTCGAACCGAGCAGGTGACCTCACCAATGGGTTCCTCGTTCGGAGAGCAATCCATTGATGGGGTCACACGTTCGGTTCGAGTCCCATTTAGCGACTCTGGAGCTCAAAACGCGTCTAGAGTTTTGGCCGCCGCCACCGGTCTTCTGGCCCACTGTGCGATGGGACAGTGCTTTCGTCGCTGGCTCTCTCGCACTCCCCCGGGATGCGAGGGAGCCAGAGGGAAGGGGCACCGTTCGGAGTCAGCCAGTGCAATGCTGCGCTGCCCCGGGGGCTGACCCTCATTTAACACACCAGCCCATGATCCACATATTGAAATGCATATCATGGCCTTCGCTATCGGAGCGCCGAGCGCCGTGGCGTAAGCGAGAGAGAACGAACAACAGCGAGGACCGCGGTCGCCGTCGCTGAGCTGTCTCTCTCGCACTCGAGGGGCGCCCCATAGCGGTGCGAGAGAGACAGAGCGACGGCAGCCCCCCCCCCCTCAAGCCCAAGCGGAAGGGCGCTCCGTTCAGGTGGCAATAGCAAATTCTTTGCTCATTTGGCGACAGTCCCCGAACGGCTGGGGGCCGACGGGTCGGTCTGGCCGGATTGAAAAACCGGTCCGCTGTGCTCCGCTGTCGGAGCCGAGGCTCTCGATACTCGCGCTGTCATGACGGATCACTCGCATCGCCTCGCGGGTGCGTCCGGGGCATCCAAAATAAACCAAAGACTGAGAAGGCAACCTGGGACGAGGCGTCACGCCGACCTCTTGTTTGTTTAGGGAAAACATCGAGTCAACGAAAAGTTCGCAGTTCACGTCTTTAATAATGCATCAATAACAAAACAACATTTTATTTTTAAAAAAAACGGGAAAAAATGGGGAAAACAGTGGTAATTTAAATGGATACCTCAGCGATTGCAGTTACAGGTACTGAAAATAGTTCACACAATTACACATGTTACTAGTTACAGAAGTAGGGTAAAATATACCCCTTGAAGACCATTGGAACAATATTGCACAGACTAGTCAACTAGCAGAGAGGCTTATGCATCCCCACAGTTGAAAAAAGGACATATCAAAAGACTGGAAAAGAGTCATGTTTTTCACAGTCAGGCAATAAAACAGCCCAAAATTCAATGTGGAGTCAAACTTGCCACTGATGCAGTGGTGATAACCTTTAAAAAACTGTGTTTTACAAATATTTACTTGGCAAATATTGTTTTCATTGGTAATATATTTTTAAAATGCAATGAGAAAGAAAATACATTTCTATAGTATGCTTAGAAACAAAATAATTACGAGTCTCTTTCTAAATTACAACAAAAATCAAGCAAACAAACAAAAATCTTCACAACAAACAAAAAGGCACATACCCAAATAACAGAATTACATTGGCAGAAATCCTTCAAACCAACACAAATTCTTGTAAGCTCACACACAGACTCATTGTAGAGAACCACATCACATAATGACAAATCTTAACTCTAGGTAAATGTTAAAAACACGATTGAATAAGCCTTAGTACAAACATTAAATGGAGATAAGATGACTCAGTAGGTAAGGAAAATATCACATTTGTTAACAATTGCTAGCTAGGTTACAATGAGATCATTCGAAATCACTATGTACACACATTTCAAACTGGAAAAAGAGAAGAAAGGATTTTCTATCACAGTTGTCATAGTTACTTCTTTTGCCTTGAGCACACCCTTTCACATGCACGGTAAGCCCCATCAAGAGAATGTCGAAAGGTTACAATACAACAAATTCAAGAAGTAATAACATGACACAAGCAAATTGAAGAAAATCGTAGCATTTTATAAATGAGACAAATAACAAGGGCACAAAAAGCGAAATTATGCATTGTTTGGCATTGAGGATCTATTCAAACCTGGTCAAAGTACATTTGGCAACAAAATTTAATTCAGTAGAGTATGGGTTTAGATAAGTTTTGTGCATAACAACAGAGTAGAACAAAAACATATACTGTTCCTTTGACAACAGATTCTATTCCATGATCTGAAGAGCTAGAGATGATCTTCCTTGAGCTCCAATCACACCACCGAACTCTCAAGGGGATCAAAATTCTGAAAACAAACAGAAAAGGGAAAGGAACTTAGCTTCATAAGTACAATCACACTCTCCATTAAGACTATCAATGGAAATAAAGTGCAACAAACCTCATCATAGGCAGTGATGTCACCTTCCTCTGTTACAACAAAAATTTGTTTGAGACTACTATCATCATCATCCATAGAAATTGTTGGCGTTATGACAATATCTTCATCTTCACTATCATTGTCTGTCCTAACAGGTAGGGCAGGAGATGGGGTTGAAGTTTCAATGGATTCCAGAACTTGATTGGAATTGAATGAGACGAGAGTATCATTTTCTCCTAGCTCCAAAAACTGAAACAACAATGACACTTGATAATAAAGATTTCAGAGAAAAGAAAGCACCTTTGACCATTTTTTATACTCACCATATAACTCTCTGGTGCTGGGAATTTTAAAACAATTTCAGACCCATCTGTTGCCTGGATGATACCATGAGCAGTGCGACGGTGCATTGTGAGAGTTGAAGATTGTCGATAATTACGCCCACATTCTCTACATTCATAGGGCTTTTGTTGAGTGTGAACAGTTTGGTGTTTATATAGCGATGAGTACTCAGTAAATCTTCGTCCACACATCTAAGGAAGCAAGTATAAGTATTAAAACATAAGCAATTGACAGATTTTAAGCACATGGAAAGATATGTCATAAGAATTTAGACATACCTTCACATTACACATGTAAGGTTTTTCTCCGGAGTGAATTCTCATGTGGTTCTTGAAATTAGTGGCTGATGCAAACGCCCGCCCACAACCAGGTTCTGTACATTCATATGGACGCTCTCCTGTATGTGTCCTAACATGGACCTTGCGGATGTTAGAAGTAGTGAATGATCTATCACATCCTGGCACATTACATTTAAAAGGGCGTTCTCCTGAAATTTTAAATCTGTGTTAGAAGACAGCAATTTAGAAGCATGCACAAAGTAATTATATTTATATATAATATACCAGTGTGAGTTCTGATGTGCTTCTGTAAATCTCCAGATGTTTTGAAACCCTTGCCACAATTGTCTTCAGGACAAAGGTAAGGTTTTTCACCGGTGTGCGTCCTGATATGAGCCTTCAAGGCATAATTAGTTCCAAACCGTTTGTCACATGAAGGCTCAGTGCAGAGGAATGGACGATCACCAGTGTGAGTCCTTGCATGTACCTATAAAAGTTTTCTTTTTATAACTTACAAAACAAGAAAAAAACCCAATAATATTGTTTGGAGCCTGTGAAAAGCACTGCTGCTGTATAAACGTACTTTCAAATGGTGAAGGGCGGTATAAGTTTTTGAACATCCTTCAACATTGCAAGAGTAAGACTTGGCTTTCCCAGGTTTAACAAATTTTCTTCGAGATATATTTGTTGCCTTTAATCTGATAGCAGAGTAATCCTCCTCCTCATCATCGTCAATTTCATCTTCATCATCATCTTCTGAGTCTTGGTGAAAGAATACACTTTCATTTTCATCATTGCAGCTCTCATCATTTAAGCTGTCTCCAGAAGCCATGGGATCATCAGGGTTTATTAGAATACTTCCCTTGGACACTGCCTTTCCATTTATAGTGCTACTTTGGCTAAGGTCATCTTCTTCTAGGAGAATGTGCTTCACAGAACCTAACCAGAACCAACACCAATATTGTTAGATTTTCAATCTCTTCCAATACAATCAAAAATGATGTATACCAACCATGTTCTTGGCCATCATTAGACTCTTCAGCACTGTACTGGAGAATAGAAAATGTGCCTTGCTCATCCTCTAGTCCAAGAGAATACGCCAGTTCAGAGTTGTCTGAAATTGAAATTATTTCTTTCTTGTCCAAAACAATTTTTTTCTTTGATGGAGCAGATTCTTCTTCCTCTTCTTCTTGATCTATTTCAGTGTAACTGCAAAATAAACTTATTTGTTCACAAAATTCTGCGAGTTATGCACAGGAAACTTTGTCCACCATTCAGACTTACCAACTTTGGTCAAGAGTAAGAGGATCAGCATCAGTGTGACTAAGGGCGATGAAGGCTGTTTCACCATTTTCCATTTCAATTTGATGAAGAGATTCTGTACAAAGAAGGAAAATTAAATTACATCAGTGTTCACTTCAAAATTGTCAACAAAATTTGTCAATGAAATACAAACCATCATCAAGGCCAGAGGCGGTTATATATGCAGTAGTTCCATCCTCAAGTTGAACAGATTGTCCAGGCTGGAAGAGCAGAGTACCGCTTCCATCTAGATCACTAAGGCCATCTTCTGCAGAAAAAATAATGAAAATGCACGATAGTTGACAAATGAGCAGGCAAAATTAATTTAAGAACTATTGTATCAAGAGTGTGGAAAGTAAAGAGAAATAGTTGTAGGAGAGAACAGGGAACAGAAAATGTGGGTGTGAGCAGACTTACCACTCACAACGAAACAAGTAGAGCCCTCTATCAGGTTATCCATTTCTGAAAACCAAAAGGAAAAACGTTAGAATGAGATAGGAAACACATTAAAATATGGACATCATAGTAAATTGCTGGTTGGTCAGGAAATAAATAAAATTCTTCAGTGAAAGGAGGATAAGATCTACTCATTCAACCCAAAACCTACAATAACCTTGACATAACCAATGTTCAGAAACCCACAACATTTTATTTTTTAGTGACATAGACAGGAACGAATAAGAATAGGATTATACTTCAAGTTTTAGCTCAGTCGGCACCTTTGATGCGGGTTGTTGAACAGGTTATAATCAGTTGTTTTCTTTTTTTAAAAGACAACCCAAATTGACTGGAAACCTCCCATTAATCACATCAAATAAATGGACAAAAATCCTCGAAACTCCTCTACACGAACAAAGCTAACAAATTCCGCATACTTATAGAAATTACATTTTTGTGAATAAATACTGGCGTAGCAGTACATCCAAAAAAATAAATAATCACAAAGGAATCTTGGGAAATTACCCAAGACCCAACTCACCAGCAGCCGTTCGCAAAATGGAGGCACACAAGTGCAACAATCTCACTGGCGGGATGACAGACGGTGGGATTTGGGCGAATGCAGAGGCTGGCTGCGCTTTGGGTGCAATCAAAAAGATTCCACGATTGCTAGAGACGCGACAATCGCCTCATTGCTGCGATACGACGCGCCATAAATAAACTGTGGTGGAAATAAAGGTGAGCGACCATTATCGACCGCTTGAGCACTGCAGAGCTACCAACACAAAAAGTAGAAAAGGAACGACAATATAATTTTTCAGACCTACTCATTCAAATAATCCTGTATCAGTTCTGTACCACCGTCACAGTATTTTTCTTCCGTCTGATTGGATCTACTCCGAGACGATTGCATAGACCGCCAGCATTTTTGCACGTCGTAGAAAGTGTAACTTTTGATTTGTATACGTGCTGCTGCGTTCGTCACTTCTTGTGTGTGTGTGTGCATGCACTTCTGGAAGGGTGCGAAGATCGTCTGGAATTTGGTTATATTTCGCCAATTTACCCAGTAAATACAACGCAGGATCAGATCTATTTCAGAGCTTAAATCATGCCGAAGAATAAGGGTGAGTTCAAAGTTACATTCATCGCTGAATTCCCGAATCCAGTCCGTATGTTTTGCCATGACTCACACTTAGCGTCAAGGGCTCTCGTTGCCTTGGCGGAATTTGAGGTTAGGAAGTAACATGTGTATTCACGTAGATTACAATACGTAGCGCAAAATAATGTTGATTTCAACGTGCTGAACTCAATGGTTATCACTTGGGAAGCTCAGAGGTAACTTAAGATTGTTATTGTTCTCCCTGAGGCGGTTTGGAGGTAGGGAAGTTGCAATATGTTGCAACCCGGGTTCCTCCGTGACATACATGTTACGTTGCCTCTCTTTCTCTCTACCGTTTGGAGATATCCTGTCCATTCTATTTTCTAATGGTTTTCGAACAATTTTCCTTTGGAACCCAAGTTTAACGTTGAGCATATTTGACCTTGCAACAACGTTTTCTGTTGCTGTGCAGCTCAGTGTCCAGCTCAGCTGTCAGAATGTCAAATTATAATTTTACTATTTGGCACTTTTTCTCAGTCTCTTTCCATTGTACCGCACTGATTCATTGTCGTCTTATTCATTGGTTGTTTATTTCAGGAAAGGGAGGAAAAAACCGGAGGAGAGGAAAGAACGAAAATGAAACTGAAAAGAGAGAGTTGGTGTTCAAAGAAGATGGCCAAGGTAATGCGTTTTGGCGTAAAATTATTTATAAATTCTCTTTCTTTTGTCGGGACCATTGATGGCTCTCTTAACACGTATTAATCAATTTTCTCTTGCACTTTTTTACCTTTTAGAATATGCCCAAGTAACAAAGATGTTGGGAAATGGACGTCTGGAAGCCATGTGTTTTGATGGTGTAAAACGATTGTGTCATATCAGAGGAAAACTACGAAAGAAGGTAATATTATTATACATGTATTTTGTTCTTTTTTATCTTTTTTGTTTACTCTATCATGAGGTTATTTTTATTTATATTGTAAACCACTTCCATTCATAGGTCTGGATTAACCAAGGTGATATTATCTTAATTGGTCTTCGAGACTATCAAGATGCCAAAGCTGATGTCATCCTTAAGTATACCCCAGATGAAGCCAGAAATCTGAAGACGTACGGTGAATTCCCTGAAACAGGTCAGTGACTGTTTTATTATTATTAGGAATGGAATGATTTATTCCAATCCTAACGTCATTTGTCTCTGGGGTTGAATTGCAATTTTGTAACATTGAGCAATTTTACTTTGCAGTCCGCATCAATGACACAGTCACCTTTGTGGAAGATGGTTTGGATGAAGATATTGAATTCGGCGATGAGATCAGTACTGATGGAGAAGGAGATCCTGTTGATAATGTAAGTCTAAAGGTTTTATATTATTATCCCTAGTTGCACTGTGTGTTGTGACCTATTCTTACTTTGTTTCCTTCATTCTGAAACCTGATCTACTTTTGCTTTTCCAGATTTGACCGAACATCTGGAGCAAAATTGATAGAACTGTGAAGCAATTGATGTCAGCCCAAGGCTACTTGCTTACTTCTCTGTTGAAGAGTAAGGAACATTTCATAATTTAATTTCCTTGGAGACATGGAGTAAACTAAATCTCACCAACCAAATTTTTTTCATACAATATTCAATAAAACCATTTTTTTAAATCGTTAAAATCCCTCTGCTGTAGATTGCCTTTCATTGACCTTTTGAAGGACTTGTTTTCACCTATCTCCACAACCATTTCAAAGCTATGATTGATACTTCAGTAGCATTGACAATGTTAAACTGTGTTTCAAACGCAGTCAACTTTTTTGTTTGTGTTTGGTTTAGTATTTAATTGAAGTCTCAATTTTATCATTCTACATCCTATTTATTATGAATTTTCTGTTAGTCTTTGGAAGACTTTTTTGTTATTGTTTTGATTAAGAATACAGTTTTCATTCATAATGAAGAGGCTTTTAATTTGCTAAATATCCTCACAGATCATGAGCATTAGTGATGCAAATAATACAATGATAATGCCTCCTATGTTTTTAGGAAATTTATGCCATTATAAATTTTTTTCTGTGCTGTTTAACATGTTATTGATAGCCATTCATTGTTAAATCTTTTGTGAGCTGTGGTGTACCGTGTGTTCTATGTGTGTAGTTAGTTTATGTAAATGGGAATATTTCTATCAATGGAAGTGAAGTACCTACTTATTCATTGTAAGATGTATTGCTAGCTCTCACTTGTAGGTTTTGGGACTGGCTCCTAAACCATATGGTGCCCGAATTTTACTCGCACTCTGATGTGTACTGGTCTGAGATAGAAACTGTTTGTTTCACAGCGGAGGATAATTGATGAGAGTGCAGGAATAGGGCTTGTGTTATGGAAAGATATAATTAATTTCTGCTGCATGTACTGAAGTCAGATCCGTTATCTTCCTCCTCCTGAGAGGCATGGACACTAAACGGGCACTTGAATGGCAGTTACTGCCATTTCTTCCTCAAATATTATATTTTGTATTGGTTACTCAATCTTGTCGTGCGCTTAATTAGGTTGTTGACATTGTCAACTGACCCTAATTGTAATGTGATTGGAATATATTATTTACTGTAAGGACACCTTTGACTACTAGACCATTTAACCCAAGTTAATTTCTCTTTAAATTTAAGCAAAATTATGATCTAAGGAATGCAAGTAGAGGGATATAAAATCTTACTTCTTTTTTTTATATATAGTAAAGAGACTATTACATAAGTTGCTTGATAAAAAGACTCCAATTATTTACCTCTTCTGTGCTACCACTATATAAAGCTACACATCTGTAGGGCTTCTCAATAGCAAGTGTTAAGTGATGTTGTCAGATGATTGAGCAAAAACAACTGCTAGTAGCCAGTAGCATGACCACATCATTGCTAGAGAAGCAGCATGAACTGTCTCATTCTAGTAAAACTACAGAAAGTCCCTACATGTTTGAATAAAATTTTGATCCCATTTAAACATGAAAGATGTTTAATGTGTTGCTCACAGGTCAGGCACGTGGATGAAAAAAGAGACAGTATTAGAAATTTAAGTTTATTTGCAACTCACATTGACTAAAGTGATCTGGTTACACGTCAAAGAGGGGAAAAAAAAAGGAGATGCTTTCACAATGATACAGACAGTCTGTACAGCTTTATGATGACTTGATGAATTAATGACATATGAAATGAATCAAGTGGACGTGCTGGTTAAAATGATGTCAACTAACAACCACTATGTGGAGTGCTTAAAATTTATGCGTTTCTTGTGACACCTGAAACAGAACATGAAAGGTTAGGTTGGAAAATTTGTTAAACATTGACTAAAGATCATACAATAAAATCACATCACACTTACACCAATCACAAGATGTTGAAACAAAATCTTTACACTTGATTACCGTCCTTCAACTGAAACAAGAAAATAAAACATTGTAATCTAGGAAGTACAATTCAAACTACCTTACCAAACAATTAGGTGAACAAAACTTACTGTAGGAGGAGAGGTCAATCTCATCAGGTAATTCAGTGATGTTGACATCAAAACGATCCTGCACCTCATTGAGGATCTTTGCATCATTTTCATCACTAACGAATGTGATGGCTAGACCCTGAAATATTAAGCCAATTAAAGAGCAGCACTAGATTGGAATCTCAGGAACAGGTGACAAAATGCAAAAGACAATACCTTGGTACCGAATCTGCCAGCTCTGGCTACTCTGTGCAAATAGGTATCAGAATCTTCTGGCATGTCATAGTTAAATACAATGTTCACTCTCTCAATGTCCATGCCTCTGCCAAAGAGATTTGTCGCGACAAGAATACGCTGAAACACATAAGAAAGGATTAAAACCTAGTCATAGCATGAACTTAAGCCCACAAAGTGAAAAGGCAAACCTTTTGGAAATCCTTGAACTGTTGGTATCGTGATAATCTCTCTTCTTGGGTGGTACTTCTGTGAATAGCAATAGCTGGGAAGTTCTGCTCTGTAAGTAGCTGCGCCAATGCCATACACCGCTGGACAGATTTCACAAATATGACGACCTGAAAAGAACAAGCATTGTCAGATATTCAAGGAAACTAATTTTAATTAATGAATAACCGAATACCAGCACTGATGCATAGTTTACCTGGTTAAACTCCAGAATATCCAAAAGTTCAAAAAGCTTTTTATTTTTCTCGTTTTCATTTAACTTGACGTAATGCTGCTGAAGTCCGTGGAGAGTCAACTTGGTTTCATCATCAACATATACCTCCATGGGCTGCAAAGAGAGCTTATGTTAAAAAGAAATTCAACAACAATAACAGAACAAACTACATGGGGATTGGGCAAAAATGAGCAATAGAATGGTAGAAGGGAAACTAAAAATAGGAAGATTTGGCAAAAAGAACCCATAGAATACGTCACGTTGAATGAGGGGTATGAAAATTCAACAATATTGAATTATTCAAAGTAAGGACTTCAAAATGAAAAATTAAGAGTTTCCAGGCAGGCCGCTGGGCAGACAATCAATCATTTGTTCAAGATGTTTAGGCCTGTCTGCAGATGGGCTTCTCAAACTGTGGAGCCCAGAATGAACTTTCACACTCCTCAGTTTACCTCACCATCCACCACAATAGAATACCAAATGCTGAAGTTGCTTGTGCTTGGCCGCGTTGATTGACGCCATCGGATCAGATGTCACGTTTCAGGTCACACACACAACAGCCACATCAGCGCTTCCTCAGGAATTCTATCTAACTCGATGATGGGAACTTTGGTTTAACTAAAATGTGTGTTTCCCCACACCCATGTTTTCCCAACCCATCTTGAATCTTCTTTCTTGCCATCTTCTTTCTTCTTAAAGATGTCTTGAGTCTTCATGGCCCATCCCAGCCCCAAGTTTGACCCTAACACTTGATTGATGTATAAGGAACTATGGCTTCCCTAACTTGGCTTGTGGAGGACAGGTCAGATGAGTGGTAGTGAGGTAAGGTATTGTGTGAGCTGAAGGCCAGTATGGACGGTGTCTGAATATAACTATGTCACGCCCCACACCCCCGAAGACTATTATGGTATGGAAGGATGATTACATCTTGCATGAACTTTTTGCAGACTGGCCGGATATCCTTGCTCAACGTGGCGCTGAACATCATCACTTGTTTGCTGTGTGGAGTGCTGCGGAAGATTTCCTGGACATCCTTCCTCATGTCTAAAAAAAAAATGAGCTAGATAAGAATATGCACTCAACACGATTTGTCAGTGAAAAATATAAGAGGCAAGAAAATTACCAAGCAATTCAAGCATCTTGTCACATTCATCAAGGATGAAATGCTTGAGGTTTTTCAGGTTCAACTTCTTATTGCGGACCAGCGCCAAAATACGACCAGGGGTACCCACAACAATGTGGGGGCAGTTGTTCTTCAAGACCTCTTCATCTTTTTGGATGGGTAAGCCTCCAAAGAACACGCTCACCTGGACAAGGACAATACACGTATTAAGGTCAGCCAACACACTTTACAGACCATCACATTTCAGACTAGCAAAAGGATTGAAAAGAGAGAAGAGCAAGAAGAATGATCAGCTGAGCACTCAGTGAGAGAGTTCATAAAATCATTAAAATCAGATTATGAATGTCCTCATTGTGATCAGCGGGCAGTCTTCAAAGAGTGGACAGTTAGAGGCTGTTAAGTCAAATAAAGACACACAAGCATTTACTCACCTTGACCTGAGACATGTACTTGGAGAAACGTTCATATTCTTTACTGATCTGGAATGCCAATTCACGGGTGTGGCACATGACCAACACATATACTTGGTTTTCAGTTGGCTCCAACTGCTGAAGCGTAGCCAACACAAATACAGCAGTTTTACCCATACCAGACTTAGCTTGGCACAGAATGTCCATGCCAAGCACTGCTTGGGGAATGCATTCATGTTGAACTGTAATAAGAAAGTAAAGAATCAACTTCAGCAAAAAAATTGAACTTACGCACCGTTGTAAGGGAAAGCCACCTACCTTCTGAGGGATGTTCAAAACCACAATCAACAATGGCACGAAGAATTTCTGGCTTGAGCAAGAAGTCCCGGAATCCAGAGCTGTGAATGGATACATAAGTACCCTTCACCTCCTTCTTGGCTCCTGTGTCACCAGACCCATCAACAACCGCCTGTTCCGGCTGCTCCTCATCTTCGTAGTCGAGAAGATCGTCATTGTCAGCCATTGTACTTGGGGGCTTCGTTTTGATGCCTGCAACACAAACACCACAACATCACTTAGTATACCAGACAATATTAAGCATACTAGAAACCTAGAGATTAACAAGTCTCACTAAAAACACACAGAACGCGACAAAGCCAGCAGGGGGCCTAAAGAAACCGAGAGACGCTTAACCTCCAATAAACAGGCAAAAAAACAGCCGCAAAATTTCGTTTCAGAGAATTCACAGCCAATAAGTAAAAGGAGGCAGAGGATAAAAAGTATATATTTAGCACCAACGACCGTAGTTGGGACAGCAAGGGCGTAAACAAGGTAGAGGCGAAGATGCGGGGCCGGCGTCGGTACCCGGTAAACTACGCCCCGAAACCGAAAACAAACAATAACCAAGCAACAGGGCAATACGACACCCGGAAGATTGCGGCATTCCTACCGATTTCAAGTATGAAATTGAATTTAGATCCAACAGAGATAAGCCGCCAAGCTATGCTTCAAGCGCGGGAGAGAGAAAATAAGCCATTAGCTTCGTTTGCGTAGGCAAGATGCCGATCGTCAATTAGTTCACTGCACAAACTCCGCTGTCCGTCCAACGATCTCGAAATGTACGTCAGGAAGTCGGAAAACAAGGCCACAACATCTACCGGTGAGGAAAATGGTAAAATTCTACGGATGCAAACGGATTACACAACATTACCTTGAGAAAACAACTACAAGCAATGGCGTCCGGCGTCACTTTGAGTTCGGCACACAGAAATGGCGGACAGCGGACTGAAGCACAGCACAAGCGGCGGACGGAAGTTGGCGGTCGGGACGGATGTCTGCTGAGACTCGCATCCGGCTCCGGTCACTTTGTCGCAAAACGAAAAACAAAATCCGTGAAGAAACTAGCCGGTCCGAAATGATAAACTGTTTGGATTCAAAGAAAAATGTTCAAAAACACTCTGATTATATATTTTGTCTAAAAAAAATGGAAGTTTGGGGGAAACTTTTGAGAAAAGTCATGGTCGACAAGTTTCTTGGTTGGTTAATCTGGTTAAGAGGCTTCTCGTGCTGTCTCTCTCTTTTTGGTTGCCTCGAGCGCTAGAGGAACAAAGACAGATATATTTTCCCAGGTGAGGGGTGAAGTGGGAGGACGTGGTTACGTTCGCCCTCGCCCCCCCACTGCCCCGCCCCGCACTTTGTGTTGTGATGTTTTCGGCTGAAGGCAGTCGCTTTGCGTTGTCGGCTGCTGTGTGAAAATTTGACGGACGGGGGTTAAAGTTGTTGCGAATTTGACGGGTTTTCGGCAGGTTCCTGCCTCCAGGCAGTGACCATGGCTTCAGCAAATGATCTGCCTTCTACTTGCGATGTTATTGTCGTCGGAACAGGTGAGCGGAGGTCGATGCACTGTTTAGGGTTGAAATTACTTAATTTATAGATTGTGGTGTGAAAATGTCACTTCCTCGACGTCCTTCACATTGGCTCCTTTTGTCTGCTGTGAGAAATTTCCCTGGTCATCTGTACCTAATTTCCGTAGCTAACCAATATTTTCTTAGTGCTCACACCTTGTTCCATTGTCCCGTCAACTTGTTGAGAAATTGTAGCTTTAATCGGTCTTATATTTTTAACACAGGTATGACGGAATCCATTCTTGCTGCTGCTGCTAGTCGAGTCGGCAAGCAGGTGCTCCATATTGATGGGTGAGTTCTATGATCAGCAATCAGGTTATGCTTCTTGCCTATCTATGCATGGATGACACCGTTGCCTCTTGCTTCTCTACATTATCAGTGTTGCTATTAAAATTGCATTTGTCCTTTTTCAGCAACGATTATTATGGTGGACTTTGGGCATCATTTAATTTAGATAATCTAAATAAGTGGGTGAAGGACTGTGAAAACCCTGAGAATTTTGCCTCTGATCCTGATGATCCTAATTCAGATGTAAAAATCAATAATGGGGAAGAGTTTGTCTTCCTACAAAATCAAACCTCCCACATAAGTAATATTGAAGTTAAATGGCATATTCCAAAGTGAGTTGAGATGTATGTTCTGCTTGGATTCTAAGGCACATCAGCATTGACTCACGTTGTAATTTTTTTGGTTTGCTTTTCAGGAAATTAACTGAAACCCAAGTGGAGCAATGGAGTCGGAAGTCGCAAACGAGTCAAGAAGAGAAGGAAAGTTCTGAAAGTGATGAATCCAAATCACCTACTGAAGAGCATACTCTTTCACGAAAACACACCAACAGTGAATCTGAAAAGATGCCCTCTGTTGGCTTTACCCGTAATGGAAACTGGACTCAAGAGGATTTGATGAGAGACTATCGTCGTTTCAATATTGATCTGGCCCCTAAGGTACAGTAGCTGCTTATCAAAAGTGGTTGTAACTAGTGCAATATTACTGAATGTTTATTCTCTTGCAGCTTCTATTTGCTCGTGGCTCACTAGTGGAACTCCTGATTTCTTCCAATATTGCTCGTTATACAGAGTTTCATGCTGTAACAAGAGTTCTTACCTGGTTGGATGGCGAATTAAATGCTGTACCATGCTCAAGGGCTGATGTATTTGCGACCCGACATGTATCTGTTGTTGAAAAGCGCATGCTCATGAAGTTGCTAACTGGCTGTATGGATTCTGATAATTTGGTGCAAGAATTTCAAGGTTTGTGTGTTTATTTGTTCTTCTCCATTAGAAACTTAAGGAGTGTTAACACTTCATTGTATTGTTTTTACTCTTCTTTTCAGGATTTGAGAGTAAAACATTTTTAGAATATCTGAAATCAAAACGTTTGACTGCACATTTGTTGCATTATGTGCTTTATGCAATCGCTATGGGCACAGATACTACACCTTGCATGGAGGGTGTTGAACGTACTCAGCGATTTCTTAATAGCCTAGGCCGATATGGAAATACACCTTTCCTCTGGCCAATGTATGGCACAGGAGAGTTGCCTCAAGCATTTTGCCGGTAAGTTTCATTATTTACAGGAGGTGCAGGAAAAAAACTGGCATTTTCATATTTTTTCATGTATGTCTTTGTATTTTCTACACAGGTTGTGTGCAGTCTTTGGTGGGACATATTGCTTACAGCACCCAGCCAAGGCTCTTGTTGTAGCTAATGAGCGCTGTGTTGGCGTTGTCTCCTGTGGACAGCGTTTAATGGCTGAACACGTTGTGATGGGCATTGCTCAAGCACCAACACAATATCTGGATGGCCAACAGCCTAGTGGTATATCACGTGGTGTATTCATCACAAACAAGTAAGTAATGCAACATTTCTTCAAAATGATTCATACCAAAAAAATTAATAATAATATTTTATTAAAATTTTTGCCAGATCAATTATGCCGTCTGAAAAAGAACCACTGACGTTCCTTCAGTTCCCTCCGGGCCCATCCCATCCCAACCCCGTTACTGTGATTGAGGTGGGGCCATCCACCCATGCCTGCCCTCAAGGACTCTGTAAGTCTGTCTGAGTTGTAGTTTTGCTCTTGTATTGGAAAATAATTCACAATTTTTGTTTTGACTGTGCAACTTCTCACATACAATCTAAATGACTTCTCTTTTTTCAGTCATGGTACATATGACCTGTAAACAGAGTAAATCAGCCAAAGAAGACTTACAAGAAATTGCAAGCTTTCTTCTCACGCAGGAGGATGTTAGTCCCAGTGATTATGATATATCAACTGACAATCGATCCACCCAAACTTCTGGCCAGGTATTTATTATACGTAAAATCACCTGAGCAATAAAAAAAAAATTATACTGAAAAAAATAATTAACACACAATTTTTTCTATTGAGGATCCACATCATCATCACTCTGAAGGAGCATCTGGAAGTGGTGATGAGGCAGCAACTGTCCGTACAAAACCACAAGTATTATGGTCAATGTATTTTAACTGTCTTGAGACGTCCAAGAACTCATACAGCCCCAATGCTCCTGAAAATGTTCACCTCTGCTCTGGACCGGATCTAGAGCTAGACTTTGAATTTTCTGTGCAACAAGTTAGTGTACAAATAACACTTTTTGCTTACAAATTTCTTACTATGTCAAATGGCAGGATTATACCACAAATGGGGTATTTGTTTTTTTTAGGCTGAGCGCCTTTTCAAAAAGATGTATCCAGACCTGGAATTTTTGCCACGAGCTCCTGACCCAGAAGAAATAGTTATTGAAGGAGATACACCTGAAGTTGTTGTATGTTCATGCATTCACTTCTTTTTCATTCACATATATTCCATCAAGATTAATTTTCTTATGTTCTTACTTTTTCTAGGATGAAGATGGGAACTCCTTTGAATTTGATGAAGAGGTTCAGCAGCCTTCTAGCTAACAAATCTGAAGTTATTTATTATTCACCAAAACACAGGCTTTAATATTATCTAATTGTAAAATAGTCCAACAATTCTGGTGCCTCATACTTTTAAATTGATTCTAAAACCGCTTTGAATGAGAATGGTTACAAAATTAGCTAATTAACTGTTTGAAACGGGAAAAAGAACTTTACATGCATAATTTGTGTACTTCTGAGGTTTGGAAGTCTCAAAGTTTTAACAGCTTTCTACTCCTGCTGGTTGCACAATTCTAAGTAATACTGCAGAAAAACATTATACTTACCTAGGGACAACAATCAATGGTCTTTGTGATAAAATATGTCCTCACCTTGATTCATCAGATAGTACTTATTTAATTTAATATAAAAAAGTGAACAGGTCCCTATTTGGAAGTTGTTTGCTCTTTGAGATTCAACTTAAACACTCTATTTTCTTTCTATTAGTTCTGCTTTGTGAGAAGGCAAGTCAAGACATTAATATTTTTTCTGTGATAAGATGAAGATTGATTTCTTTTTTGTTTGTCATGATGCCTGCACATGAACTACGATGTAAGGTACATTAAATTTTAGTCGTTAGAACTTAAGCATTTTCATCATAATAGGTTTGTAATGGTTTTTACTGGATTTAGATTATTTATTATTTGACCTTCAAACTGGAACTGTTATGCTTTTGTTAGAGTTAAGTTGGGAGTGATGCAGAAACTTGGCTGTTTTGGTAATGTGTGCTCTATGCAGTATGCATATTTCTTTCTTATTCTTGTCAACTCCTCCTTCAGCCAACTAAACGTAAATAAACGATGCGAAAAAAAGGAAAAGCGATGTCCGTGACTTATTCTTCTTCCCACAAGACCTCTGAAGCTGACTCGATTTTTGAGGTAGAAATAATAATGTATTGAATTGCAAGGCAAATTTACACTAGGGGGCTGGGCCGGCTGGGCGGGGGCGCGCCCTCTGTAGAGGCCTAAATACTTATATAGTGTATAGGCCTCTAGCCCGCTGGCGCGGCGTCAGAAGGCGCAGGCCAGGATGATGGCGGGCAGCGCGATGATGCACATGACGTAGAGGGCGGTGCGGGGCTCGCACGTGGACACGGCCACCACGTGGTCGTGGCCGTGGTCCTGGTGGTGGGGCGCGCCGAGCAGCAGTTGCGGCGTCGAGGACGGCGACGTCCCCGCCCCCTCGCCGGGCGCCACGGGCACCTCCAGGACGAGGGTGTCGTCCGACAGGAACCGGAGCGGCAGCGAGCACGACCCCGAGTCGCTGGAGTTGGAGGCGCACCGCGCCACGGGGGCGTCCACGTCGTACACCACCTTGTCCAGGTCGAAGCGCACGCGCACGAAGTTGGTCTGCACCTCGTTCTCGCTGCCCAGCACGAAGAAGTAGTGCCCGTCGGACGGCACCCTGCGGCACATCCACATCCTCCAGGACACTGCTAGTCGCCGCTTTACCAAAGGGTCCGAGTCGCCGCTCTGGACTTCCCCGCCACTCTCACCCAAGGGTGGATCCAGAGTCAGGTTCAGGGAAGGAATGGGAAGTGGAGAAGGTTGCCTACCCACAGGGACAAAGTGCGATTTTCCCGCTGTTCACCGCCTTGGGGGGCGGACCGCTCACCTGTAGGTGATGACGTTGGGCGCGGCGGCCAGATGCAGGTCGGCGACGGCGCGCTTGCGCTGGCACTGGCGGTGCGGGGTGAGCGGCAGGTTGAGCACCAGGCCCTTGCAGCCGAGCAGCGCCTCCTCCGACGAGCTGAAGGACGACCACAGCTCCGAGTGCGACTCGTCCAGGCTGGTGGTCTCGTTGACCCAGCCGCGGACGTCCTCGCCGGGGAGCGGCGCGCGGTTCGCCACCTCGTCGTCGCGCTGCTGCAAGGCGAGGGGGAGCGGCGTGAGCCATCACGGCAGCCTTCCAGTGTCGCACGGTGGGCCAGAAGACCGGTGGAGGCGGCCAAAACTCTAGACGCGTTTTGAGCTCCAGAGTCGCTAAATGGGACTCGAACCGAACGTGTGACCCCACCAATGGATTCCTCGTTCGGAGAGCAATCCATTGGTGGGGTCACACGTTCGGTTCGAGTCCTGTTTCGCGACTCTGGAGATCAAAACGCGTCTGGAGTTTCGGCCGCCTCCACCGGTCTTCTGGCCCACTGTGTGTCGTGAGCAAGCTCTGGTTGCGGTACTCACGGCGTCGTTGTCGTCGGGCTGGGCGTCGGGCTGCTCCTCTGCCGCCGTGTTATCGTCGCTGCGGCCCAGCTCCCTGCTGAGCCTGGCGCTGCGAAGGTGGTCCAGCGCGCGGCGCCCCGTCGCCCCCATGGCTCGCAGCCGCTCGAGCATGCCGCGCGCCACCTCGGCCGAGGCGCCGGGCACGGCGCTGTCCTCGTCGGCGTGGTCCTCGAGGCCGTCCAGCTTGTAGAACACCTTGGGCGGCGGGCGCGCCTTCTCGTGGAACTCGACGGCCGTCTCCTTGACGAGCTGCATGCGGCGCGGCTGGTTGGAGCGCTGCTTCGGCGTCGTCGGCGCGGCCGGTCCGGGACTCGCTGTCCTGGCCGCGGTCCCGGGCACGCCGTCAACCGGCGACACCCCTGCCTCAGGGCCGGGCGCGTCGCCGTCAGCTCCGGGTGGCGGACTGGAAGGACCCGTCGGCGGCCGGTAGCGGCGACTCTGCTCCAGCTGCGCCCGCAGCGCCGCGCGCCGCACCTCCTCCGCCTCCTCCGACGAGTCGTCCCCGATGTAGGCGCACTGCAGCAGGTGGTCGTAGCCCTTGATGACCACCAGCGAGACGCCGGGCCAGCGCACACACGGCGACACGGTCACGGACGAGCCCTCCAGCAGGTAGAAGCCCCAGTACTCCTTGGTGTCGTCGTCGAGCGAGATGTCGCGCGTCAGGGACACGCGCTGACGGCGTCCCCGGCGCGGGCTGCCCTCCACCATCCACGCGTTGAAGCTGGCGTTGGCGCGCACCACCTGGGCCTGCACCCAATCAGGTCAACATGACGTCATTTTGGCATCAAAATGGGTCAAATCTTGACAGAAATAGCTCATGTTGCGCTCATGTTGACATTTTCGATTCGTATGCTCTCCCTGCGTGCGAAGCTCACTGAGTGAGTGGGGAACTAAAGCAGGCCGACGGTGTCTAAACAAAGCGGATGGCGGACCGCGGAAGACGGGGAGGTCGGCGAACCGTTCGAGTACAGTCCGGTCCGCGCGGTACAGTCCGAACCAATCCCGGCTTATCTCTTGGAAAGCCACTCGTGCCTTACAAAGCCTTACACGATCCGCGCAGTGTCCTGGCTGCGTACAGTGGGCCAGAAGACCGGTGGAGGCGGCCAAAATTCGAGACGCGTTTTGAGCTCCAGAGTCGCTAAATGGGACTCGAACCGAGCGTGTGACCCCACCAATGGATTCCTCGTTCGGAGAGCAATCCATTGGTGGGGTCACACGTTCGGTTCTAGTCCCATTTAGCGACTCTGGAGCTCAAAACGCGTCTATAATTTTGGCCGCTCCGCCGGTCTTCTGGCCCACTGTGCCGCGGCCTGCACACACCTTTGACATATCAGTCCGATTCCGCGGGTCCCCTTCGTCGCCGCGTCTCTCTCGCACCTGCACGGGACGCGCCATGAGTGCAAGAGAGCGACGAAGGCGACTCTCCGAATCGGAGTGTTGACGTTGACAACAGCACAACAGCTAGAAGAGGCCCACCGGGTGCGTGTTACCAGGCGGCGAGGCGCCGGGTACTGTATCCCTTACCTGGCACCAGGTGGAGGACACCTGCAGGTCCAGGACCCTCATGTCGGAGGGCGTGAGCGGCAGCGCCAGGTCCCGGAGCACGACGTAGCGCATGTACAGCGGCCACCCCAGCAGCACCCCGGGGCACAGCAGGCAGACGGCGGCCAGGCGCACCAGCCTCGACGTCGTGGTCTCGCACCGCCAGACGCCTGTCAAGTCAACAACGGCGTTCGACAGGATGGACTCCGTCGCTCTGTCTCGGTCGCATCCCTACGCACAGTGGGCCAGAAGACCGGTGGAGGTGGCCAAAACTCTAGACGAGTTTTCAGCCCCAGGGTCGCTAAAAAGGACTCGAAACGAACGTGTGCCCCCACCAATGGATTCCTCGTTCGAAGACCAATCCATTGGTGGGGTTACACGTTCGGTTCGAGTCCCATTCAGCGACTCTGGAGCTCAAAACACGTCTCGAGTTTTGTCCGCCTGCGCCGGTCTTCTGGCCCACTGTGCGTCGCTCGGCATGGGCCTTCAGCCCGACGAGCCCGGATAGGCAACCCGGAGGACGCCGGTGTGCGAGTCCGCTCGGGCTGCCGACCCACTCTTCGACGGCGCGGTGACTGACCTCGGCCGGGGCAGCCGCCGGTGCGGGGGCCACGCTTGCAGGAGGGGCGCGAGGGCCCGCCGCGGCCCTGGAGGCGGCCCACCTCAGGGGCCTCCAGGTCGCTGTCGTCGTCGCGGTAGCTGTGCTCGTCGTACGGTCCCATGGCGGGGCTCGCGGGGCTCACAGTGGCGGGCCTCACAGTGGCGGCGCATGGCGTCGGCGGAGTGGAGCGGAATGGAAGCATCGGCCAGGCAGGAGATAGCAGTGGGTCGGTCGTCCCTTCTACTTCCTCGCACGGCTGCACCGCCATGGCACCGCCGCAGACCGATTCCGAGAGTCGCTCTGTCTCTCTCGCACCTGCAGGGAGGACCCCGCGAGTGCGAGAGAGACAGAGCGAGCCTCGGAAAGCGCCGCACCGCGTCGCCGGCGCGTCTCCGCGTTCCGCTTATCTCGCGCGGCGTGGCGGCTCAAAGCGCTGCCGTCGCCATCAAGTGAATCACAAACACCATTATAATTCGTGGCCATTCCGGGGCCGCCGGGTTAATGGGGGGTCGCCGGCCAGTCGGCGGAGGTGAGGCAAATCAACAGTCGGGCTGGTTTAGTTTCAGTGTGATGCAATTGGTTTAATCGTCTGTTCTCACAGTTCACATGGCTGCTCCTCGTACAATGTACACATAATCACCACAATGATTAAGTAGTCGGTTTCGTTCAAATTGAGGCTATTGATTTCTGTCGATCTCAGAGATCGTGTCAGTGATTGGTAAAAAAAGGGGGGAAAGATAGGATTGGTACCTTTCAGAAGCAATAAGATCTAGCAGTTACAATTCCTTAAAAAGTAGCAGTCAAGCTATTTCGTTTTCTACAGATAGGTACACATGCAATCACACATGAGAAGCCCTAGCACATGATATTCAATTAATTAAATAAAATTTACATCCAGTAGAAACTGATCACTCATTCCTATTTACACACGCATCCCTTCCACTCATATATAAATCTCTCTTTATGTATATATATATTTGTATCAATTTATCTATACATCATATTTATAACGACTATTTATAACATTAAATATAAATACAGTATGTATATATGTGACAAGGCTCCACCCATCCATTCCACGTCTACTCCATGTCGTCATGTTGGCTCGAGAAGTACGACACCAGGCCCCCGAACTCGCTACGGCCCTCCTCCTCGTACTTGGGGGCCCCGGGGGGCTGCTGGGGCACGGGGGCCGCCGAGCTGCCAGGCGACGGCACCTGCGGGGGCAGCTGCGCTAGCGTCTGCGTGGGCGGCGGCCCGTACGGCAGGTGCGGGTGGTGGGGGTGCATCTGCGGGGGCAGGTGGGGGTGGTGGGGCGACAGGTGCGGCCCGCCCACGTGGTGCAGCAGGTGGTGCGGCGGCGCCGCGTGGTGATGCTGCGCGTGGTGCTGCGCGGGGTGATGCTGCCCGTGGTGCGGGTGGTGCGGGTGTAGTGGATGGTGGCCCGCGTGGTGCGGCGGCGGCGCCAGCCCCGGGTGGTGCTGGGTGGGCAGGTAGGGCGCGTGCGGCGGCGGGGCGTGCTGCGCCGGCTGGTGGGGCTGGTGGGGCGGGCCCTGCGGGGGCGCGGGCGGCGCCTGGTGGTAGTACTGCTGCGAGTACGGGTACGGCGCGTCGCCCGCCAGGGCTTGCATGGCCATGAGCGGGCCGGACGCCGACGACGGGTACGTGGTGGGCGGCATGACGACGCCCTGGGTCACGACGGGGCCTCCGGGCCCGGGCGGCCCCTGGTGGGGCATGCCGGCCATCTGCACCATGCCTGGTGGCGGGCCCGCGGTCATGGAGGCGCCGTGCGGCACGGGGTGGCCGGACACCACCGCCGGGGCGCCGGGGCTGGCCGACGGCGCGCCGTCCTGCGGCTTGACGGGCGCGGCCAGCTGCTGCAGCTCCTTGAGGGTGCGAGGGGCCTGCCCCGCGCCCACCGGCACCTTGGTCTCGGGGTTGATGGGCACGGCCGAGATGGAGGGCGGCAGGCCCGGCGCCACCACGCGCGCGGGGGTGTTGATGTGCGAGGGGACCTGCGGCGTGCCCGGCGCCATGGGTTTGGTGCTGGGGGTGATGGTGACGGCCGGCACCGCGTCCGCTTTGACGGCGCCCACGGTCACGCTGGCGCCCGCCATGCCACCCGGCGCCACCAGCACGCTCGTGTGCACGCTCGTATGCGACAGGACGCTGGGCTGCGGGACGGCGGGCTGGAGGACGCTGGGCTGCGGCACGGTGGGCTGGGCGACGGCCGGCCCGCCGGCACCTGCGGCAGCCCCACCGACAGCACCGCCAGCACCTCCCGGAGCAGCAGCAGCAGCAGCGGGCGTCGCGGCGCCACTGGCAGTGCCCAAGTTGCGGAGGGGCGTCACCTTCACGCGCGGATGCGTCCTCGGTTTCTCTGTGCAAAGCAGCGCAAAAGTCCCAACGTTAGAGCCGCCAGCCGAAGGGAAATGAAGGTCATGTCGCAAACAGGGGAGACACGTACCTTTAGTGACGGTGACTTCTTTAACGTCCTCGTCCACTTTCTTGGTCCCTTTACCAATTTCCTTACCCTTACCCTTGCCCTTCTCTTTTCCTCCGGATCCCTGTTGACAATCATACGACAGTGGTAAAGGACAATCTTAATATTTAAAGATTTTAAAAAATACAAGACGTTTTAACTATAAAGAAGGCTAACATACCTCATCATCACTTGAAGCCAGTGCTTCTCTATAGTCCATCCTCCTGCCCCTTGTTCTCCTGGGTGCAGGTGCATCAGAGTCTGAGCCTGACTGACTTCTTTTGGGCTGTGCCTGGTGGTAATAACAAACAGTTCATTTACTCTCTTAACAAGAAAGGCACATATAAAGAAATAGATGTTTGGAAACAGTGAACACAAACCTTGGCCTTAGGTTTTTTGATTCTAACTTCTTTGTCAGAATCATCACTATTACGAGCTTTCCTCTTTGCCTTGGGTTTGCCTTTGGGCCTGCCTCTGGGGGCTGCTTTCTTTTTAGGAGGAGGCTTCTTCTTCTTTTTCCTGTTAAATTAAAATCAATAACATGATTGTTTTAGTAAAACGTGAAAAGTAAAAAAAAAACCTTAAAAAAATACTGTTACAAGCACAACATACTTCTCATTTTTCTTCTTCTTCTTCCGTCGAGGGGCATCACTGTCACTGTCATCCTCCTCTTCACTTGCCGTCTCACTCTCTGAACTATCATCAACTGCAAGGGGGAAAGAGAAATATTCAGTACAAAACTGAAAGTAAAACATCAGGAAATTAGGACTCTATTCCTGAACAGTGGTACTTACTGAAGTCTCTGTCAGCACGAGTCATTCTGTTGCTATATCTTCCTGAACGCCTCACATTGCGACTGCCTTTGCGTCGACTTAAAACCATAGAGTCATCAGACTCAGATCCAAATGAAGCTTCTGATGGCTCTTCATACTCACCAGCACTAAACAAAATAGGAGAAAAAAATATATTACAATACAGAATTTCAGCATGATAAAACAGAGAGCTAATAACGAAATGTACCTTGAACCCTTAAAGTCCTCATCACTTTCAGGATCTGATGACGTGGAGCTGAATTCCAAAGCCGTAAGACTACGTTTCTTGCGTTTTCCTTTAGCTCCTTTAGAAGCTTTGGCAGTTTTGGCAGATGAAACAAGTGGGGGCAGATAGCCCTCCTGAAATACAATTATCAAGTTAATAAAATTTCATAATACTGAAATACTAATTTAAGCATCTGATGGGCAAATCATACCTCTTCTTCTTCATCTTCATCCTCCTCCTCCTCTTCGTCTTTATCCTTTTTGTCCGCTTCATCATCTTCTTCTTCATCTGTTAAGTACTTCCCTCTTCTCTGGGGCTTTTTCTTTATTTCGCCTTCTGAGTCTTCCTCTTCCTCCTCTTCCTCCTCATCCTCACCCTCCAAAACCTTGCCCACAGATTTCACAGTCTTCTCTGGGATGGGCAGCACCTCAGCCTCCGCGGGAGCCACCTCCTCCGCCGCAGCAGCAGCCTTGGTCTCCTCATCTAGACCATCCTGTAAAAAGAAAAAAAGGAAAAAAAAATAAAAAATTAATGAACTGTGCACTATAAATGAAAATGGCTGACTGATTTAAATTTCTTTATGAAATTTCAGGGCCTACCTGAATAGCAGACTTGATTAAATCATCATATTCACTAAACCGGTAGTTGACATTGGTTTGTCTTCTTTGCCTAAGTTTATACATGGGCCCATCTTCATCACTAGATTTGTCAGAAGCTGAAGATGATGACGAGCTTGATGAGGATGTCGGTGTTCCTGTCGACGGCGATGACCCAGAGGCTGAAGAATTTTCAGATTCGTCCGCTGTAATAATAAAGAATGAGAGATGAATCAAGATAAAATGGTAAAAGATGCCTGCAAGGTTACAAATTATTTGTCATCCATTACTACTTAAACCATGAATAAGTAGAGAGCCTACCTTCTACATCAGGGTCATTTTTGTCATCATTGTCAACTTCATTTTCACTGTCACTGTCTGCAGCAGCATCTTCCTTGTCAGAATCAATAATTTGGCATCTCCTTCTTTTTCCCCTAACCCGCTCTCTCATTTTCTTCTTCTTCTTTTTCTTTTTGACAACTTCAACTACCTCATCTGGTAGAATATTGTCAATAGTGACATCAACAAATGACAAATACTTCTTACGAGCTTCTTCAGATGCAATACGTTTTAAATCAAGATCATATGATTGTAGATGTTCTTGAAGGCTTGCAATTAGGCGGGTCTAAAAATAAAGAAGATACAAAATAACATCATAAATCGCAAAGGTCAAGAATATTTTTGCAAAGGTACTTCTAGTCTTTTTTAACTGTGAGGAAACTTACATGCTGACAGGGAGGACAGTACCAGTCTCCTTCGGGTATTTGCAGCAATGCTGGCCGTAAACATGAGCAATGCCAACCAGCATCACACTTGTCGCACAATAACATCCACTCAGGTTGGTCAGATTTGGCACATTTCTTGCAGGGATAGTCCTGAGGTTCTGGTTCAGCTTCCGCTTCAACAGCTAGAAAAATATGTTTAGATATTAGCATTGTAGTCAATATTTACACGAGCTAGAGTATTGTAAGGAATATATTTTTTAACATTACTGATACGGCAAAAATAATTAAAAAATTAACCTTTATCTCTGCGAGCTGTTCTTGCTCTCCGAGTAGGTTGGTACTCTTCATCATTTACATCAGACTCTGGTGAAAATTCATGGTCTGATTTCATGACGTATGGGGCATCATCATCAGAGGGCTCATGGATTTCATCCTCGGGCGAGTCAGAATCAGAGCTGTATTCATAAGAAGAAAGGAATGATTTAATGATATCCAAATTTTGTTGATACCAATGGTAAAGGGATCAAATTACATACCTTGAACCAGAAGAAGTTTGGTTCCAAACATTTGTACCTGGATTGAAATTGGGTTTCTTTTCCTTGTACTTTTTCTTCTTCTTCTTTCCATCATCTGAATCTGAACCAGCCTAAAAAAGGTGGAAAACACATGTTTAGTAACAAACAACCCAGCAATCTACAGTCTCAAGTTAAATACAATACAGACAGAAAAACACACATACCTGCTCTTTCTCTAGTCTTCTCTTCTCCAGCTTTGCAGCTTTTTTGGCCTCCTTCTCCATTTTCACACGCTCTTTCAGAGACAGCTCGGCTTCTTCGTAGTCCCTCCTCTCAGCTTGCTCCTATGACAACAAAGATGAAATGTCACAAGTTCGTCAAATAAAAGCAATCTAATTAAATATGCAGGTAGGAAAGAATAAGGGAAAAATATGAACCTTTAATCTGATCTGGGCAATTCTCCTCGATGTTCGCACACCCCGTCCAGATTCCTCTGCAGCATCAACCTTGGTTGTCTCCATGTCCACTTCAAGTTCCAGCAGCATACGACCTGATGCATCACAAATAACATACACGTTACAAATAAGACAACATTTTCCGTTGATTGCTCAAACAAGCCGGGGCCTTGCACTCACTTTTCCGAGGAGTCATCTTCTTCTTCTCCGGCGTCTCTCCAGCCTCGCTGGACTCCACCTTGGCAGCCTCCGCCCCCTCGGCGCCCTCCGCGCCCTCTGCCTGCTCCTCGGTGGAGGCCGTGGCCGAGGCCGAGCGCGCTGCCGCCCCCCAGCGACCACGGCCTCGGGCGCGCCATCCGCGGCCCCGCCCTCGGCCTCGTCCGCGGCCACGCTGACCTCCACGACGGGCAGGCGCCGCGTCGCCCTCCTCGTCCCCTTCCACCGCGGCAGCGTCCTCGCCAGTCTCCTCCGCCTCCTCGCTGCTGGCCTCTCCCAGGGCGGCCCGCCGCTCCTCGGCAGCAGTGCGAACCTGGTCCACGGCTCGCTTCCCGCGCATTTTGGCTCTCTTGGCCTCGTCGTCGTCCTCCGCACTGTTAAAATAAAAAATAGAGCGTCAATTGTGGCGAGGAGCTGCCAAGGACTACAGAGCAACATTTCTTCACTGGCCACTCACCTTTCAGTTGGGTCTGCAACGTCATTGCTTCTCCTCTTTCGACCTCTTCCCTGAGTGTCATCCTCAGGCAATGCTAAAGGATCGACATCAGCACTCTCTCTAGTGCTGGATGCGCCTCTCCGAGGTATTAACCTAGCACGCTGCAAAGATAAAAATTATTTAATAAAAGCAGTGTGTGATGAAAAGATGAGGATGCACAGTTTTAAAAGTGAACCAACCTCTTTTTTCTGTGTTTGATCCCCTTCATTAAGTTCAGATTCGCCATGCAACTGATTCATTTCTGAAAACACGTCACTCTGGCTCTCATCTTCCCTTTGCCCAGGAGGAGTAGCCTGCTTCCAGCCTCCAGTAGCACCTTCAAACACCAGGAATGACTTCTCTTCTTCCTCCTCTTCATGGACAATTTCAGGCTGCAACCACAAATAAAATGTAAAATATACCAGTATTATTATTGCATTGAATTCCCCAAGCATTGCATTGCAACTCTAAAAATACAACTCACCGGCTCTATTGGATCGTGGCCATCACTATCATCCTCAGATTCATCAAGGTGAACAGGAGCACCAGCAGCCTCCATTTGGCGCATTGCGTCTTCTAAAGTTGTGATGGCAGGGGGTTCCTCATCCAAGTTCTCTTCACTGGAGTAGCGTTTACCGGCAGAGGCAGTGTTTAAAGAGGCAGGTAAAGGGGGAGGACTCATGCTCTCTTTTTGCACTTGGTTTAATGGCACTTCTGGTACTACTGAAGGTGCTTCCACAATTGATTCAATTTTACTAACAGCTACTGGAGGAACTGAAGGTGCCTCAAGTGGCTGTTTTTGTAGTGCTACTGAGTCCATTGGAGCAGGGGTGGAGACTGAACTAGACTCAAGCACAGGTACACTGGAAGTCTCTGCAATCTTTCCAGAAGCCTCAGGAGTATCAAAATGGTCTTTGACCCCTGAGGTAGTTTCTCCCACCAATGCCGAAATTTCAGAGGCAACTGGTGGGTTATCTTCAGCAATCATTTGACTTGCAACTGTTACAGGAGATTCGGGCACGTCTTTGGAAGTGCCAATTTTGATACTATTGTCTTCTTTAACCTGGCTATCTACAGTCAATACTTCAGAGTTGACAGGGGTATCATCTAATTTAACTGTAGCCTTGGTTTCATCAGGTTCAGCTTTGACCTCAGTGGGTGGAATTAATTCGAGTGTTTCTGATTTTGTGGCAATGGCGCCCCCTGTTTCTTCTGCACTTGCTAAAGCATCATTTACAGAGTTGGAAACACTTTCAACATACAAAGGCTCCTTTTTTGAATCAGCTTCAGCAGTTAAGTTAGGATCCTCTGAAGGTATGCTTGGTGTTCCTATTGGGGAGATTTTAATGACTTCCACTGGTTCTGCCACTACAATGCTGGATTGTGCTTCTTCTGGCAGTAAACAACTTTCTGCTTTCTCTCCAGCTAGCTCTAGCTCTGGCAATGAAGGCGGTGGCAACCCTATTTCTTCTACAGCGTTGTTTCCAGCACTGACACTTGGCTGGAAAGCACTGGAATCTAATGCTTTAGGGATTTCTTCAGCAAGAGGCTTGTTTGCTCTTTCAACTGAATCAGATGCAGTGACTGGAAAATCAACTGCACCTTCTGAAGACAAAAGTTGGGGGTCGACCAAATCATTTTTCACATCAGTTGAATTCACAGAAACAGGATCATCTGAGGAAAGAGTATTGCAATCAGGTGCTTCAACAGAAGGACTAACAGTAGGTGGTACCTCAGCAACAGTAGGCTTAAGTACCTCACTGTTGACCAATTCTTCACTAGACTTGTTCACAGGAAAAGTGACCTGACTATTAAAAGGGATTTCAACAGAACTATTGATTGAATTTTCCAAATTATTTTCCTGGATGTCAGATGATTCCCCCAATACTTTTGTCACTGATTCCTTAGCCACAAGTTCTTCTTTTGTTTCAATGGATGAACTAATTGGATTACTTTGATCTTGATCTAAATCAGATTTACGATTATTTTCTGGAGGTTCTTCAACAGGTTCATTTCTTTCAGATTCCGGCTTTGATTCTAAAGGTTCTTCAGCACGTGCACTACTTTCAGATTCAGGCTTTATTTCCAAAGGCTCTTCGGCAAGTGGAATTTGTTCAGATTCAGGGTCAAGCTTCATTTCTGATGGTTCTTCAGCAGGTCCACCAGATTCAGCTTCAAGCTTTGCTTCAGAAAGTTCTTCAACAGGTAGAATACTCTCCAATTCAGGCTTTGTTTCAGAGGGCTCCTCAGCAGGTGGAATTGACTCACATTCGGGCTTTGATACTGAAGGTTCTTCAACAGTAGCACTACATTCCGATTCAGGCTGTGTTTCTAAAGGTTTTTCTATCGATGCACTGCATTCAGTTTCGGGCTGTGCTTCGGAAGGTTTTTCAGCAGGGCTAGATTCAGGTAAAGGCCTTGATTCTTCAGAAGTGCCCGATTCAGATTCAGGCTTTGTTACTGGGGTAGATGAAGAGTCCAGCCTTGTTTCTGAAATTTCTTCAGCAGGTGAGGATTTAGCATCAGGATTTTTTTCTGAACGTCCTTTAGCAGCTTCAGACTTTGCTTCTGAGGGTCCTTCAGGAGTTGTAGTTTCAGTCGTATCTGGACAGGTGGGCTGTGGTTTTGCCTCGGGAGAGCCCATTGGTATTCTATCTTTTGCTGCTAGGGTGCCAGGTCCAAAGTAGAACCCAGTTTTTAGAAAATCCAACTCATCATCCTCTGTTTCCTGTTGCTTGTTGACAGAGTCGATAGTTCCATTAGTGTTTGAGACAGGCTCATTTAGTTTAGCTTTAGAATTTACATCAGAGGTAGTTTCAGATTTTTCTGTTTCTTCAGAATTTGTGGGATTACCCATTTCACAATCATGGCCAGATCCATGGCCGAGTATAAACATCACAGGTTCTTCTATGGCTTCACCTACTTCTGAGTCATTATACAAATTAATAAAATTCTCCCCCTCGCACTCTTTCCCAGAGCCTTCACCAGCAATAATTAGAGGGGGTTCTTCAATTGCTGAAGACACTTCATCATCTAGTTTGATTCGCTTAGCCCTCCTTTTCTCTTGAGGATCATCAGTATCCGCAAGCCTTTTTTCAGTCTCATTAGTTTCACATTTTTCACCTTTGAGCATTTCTTTTGCATCAGCAGTAGTTTCTGATTCTTCTATCTTCTCTGCCTTCCCTTCTGATTTCTTAATCAAATCTGGCTGAACAGAGTGTTTAACATCTTTTGAATCCTGGGTTTCTGACAGCTCACTATCCTCAGAATTTGATTCTTCTTTAAGTTTTGATTCTTCACTAGAAACAGATTTAACACTTTGAACACCATCTCCAATTGTTTTTGTAGCTGCACTGTCACTGGTTTCTTGGTCTGGTTTTGTAGAGCCATTTCCTTCACTGCTCTGACCCGTATCTAGGCCTTCATGGCTATTACTATCTTCTGAATTGAACACTGAATCTAGATTTCCCTCAGATAACTGCCCAATAAGATGCACTAGGGATGCCCGATCACTGCAGATAAAGCGGATAACAATAATTAAAATAAAAGACAAATTTATCCCAAAATTATTTAGAACACATTTGATGTAATGAAAACACTTGCCTTGCAACAACTTGCCACGTTTCGTTGTCAGCATCCTCCCTATAAACTTTTAAATTACAGAATTCATCTTGTTGTAACCAATAGTTTTGGCCACCTTTATCACGGCCAAATGGCTGAAGTCGTAGTTCTGATGATGATAGTCGATTAACTTCAGCCTTAAACTTGGTATTGAGGTCAAATTGATGTTCTAATAGCAGCTGGAAAGAAATAAACAATATTAGAGACTCACAAAAAATATCGACCGAGGAAATGAATGAATTAGTACAATCAATGTCACTTACTTTCAAAACTCTTAATTTACCATCCAAGCGTAACTTCTTATAGCCAAGCCTTTCAATTTCCCAACCATCTTGTTGAAATTCTTCACCAGCATGCATGTGGCAGAATTTAATCACAGCACGTTCCCATCTTTCAACAGAGACGGACTTCCTTGCTTTTCGCAGTAATTTGACATGGAGGTCTATTAATGGTTGTGGAACTGGAATGAATGAAAGCAAACAAGACAAAGCAATTAAGAAAAAGTAAATGGTATAAATTTCATTAGAGATGAAAAACATGAGAAATGGCATTGAATAGAATAATAAGCCTAAAAGTTTGTTATTGATTGAAGTAAAATACATTAGAGAAGCTATTGAATTGTATTGAGATGGAATAGAATATACAGTATAATATGAAGAACAATATGAAGAGTTGAATGAAAATTATGAACTGGTAAGACCAAAAAAAAAAAAAAAATAACAATAGAGATAAAGATCCATTGAAAAACTTGTCAGTGTTGAGATTTCCCCCAAGTAGAAGGACCTTGAGTGCCGACTGGTCACTGCAACAACTTCTGTGATTATACGGAAACGAGCAAATTCAGAACACCAATTTTTGCTGCAGCCCTGATCTAGGATACACACAAAACACAGTGGCTTCTCTGTTGGTCTATGTGATACCTAACCTAAGTAGCAGACGCCGCCTCGGCGTCCCACATCGAGTTCAAGAGAAAAAAGATGTGCAAAGACCAAAATAAAATCAGAAATGAATGGAACATTGAATTTAGGCATCAAAGGTCAACATAAAGCACTTGAGTATCAACTGCAACGCCGGTTACTCCCATGGAGCCGAAATCCATAGCGTCAAGGGAGGAACCAAAACATTGGGCTCCTCACGGTGATACAAAGGCAAATGAGGAGGCGAAATACAAAACTAACAGAGAAAAAATTAAGAGGCCTGTGTAAAGTGAAATTTTACCAGATTCACAATTTTCTAGCATTTCTTGAAGTTCCAAAAAGTTTGGATGAGAGATCCCGCAGGGCAGCGCGAATCTCTCCAGAAAGGAGCAAATCACGGCGAAATTGGGATCGGCCGTGCATTTTTCCGGTCGCTCTGTCATTTTCGAGTCACTCTGGTAACAAATTCACATCTCTGAGACGAAAATTCATCTAAAAATCACTGAACTACGCATCACAAACAAACAACAGAAATTGCAGGTTGCGTCTGACGCTACCGACAAGCATGACCAACAACGTCACCCACTTCCAGAATCGTAAAGCAAATCTTTTACAGATTCGGTGAAATTGGTCATTTAAGGTGAAAATAAATGAAATCAGAATCTAAGTTGGGCTTTTAAATTGAAAGAAACCGTATTTGGAAGCTGAAAACAGGGGAAAGTGCGCACACATTCCTCCAGATAGGTTCCCCTTTGTATTCAAAGGTTGCCATCCTGGAGAGCTAAGCCAGTAGAGGTTGTAAGTTGTGCATCATCATACTTTGGCGGTTCTTTTACTGTTTAATTCACAACTTTCGTCTCCGGAACGCGATTCTCGTTCACTCCGAGAGGCATGGGACTAGATTTCGCAACCCTCTGCTTTTGCCCATTTGGAAATGTGTCTTTGGAGGAGGGCAATGTCGGCTCGCCGCACCGCACCGCACAGTGGAGCGGAGAAGAGCGCCCCGACGCGTGGGGTAGCGCCAACGCCTCCCTCTGCCGCTGTGTGGTCTGCAGCCTGCGTCTGCGTCGCCTGCTGCCCTCTACCGTCAGGTGGCTGCTCCACTGGTGCTGACTTTTTGCGGCGTCACTACTCCGTGCGGTAAGTACAGCTTCGCGAAAAGCGCGGATAGCGACTTTGAAAAAAAAAATATTAAAATAAGAGCAACGAAAAGAAACTTCGCATGGAAAAAACATGAGCGAAACCATGTTAATTTTCATGTGGAATCGAGGGTTGGATGAAAGAGCGATGGGGGATCCACTGCAGCGGCGGACTTCCCTATGAACAAAATGTTCGCATCTCACTCGGTAGGAAATATATCCGCGATTACTCCGTTGACGCCGGCCGATGGTCGAGCTCAAATGATTGCATTGCTTCAAAAATTAATCCAGCGTTCGCAAACATTGAGGTTAGGTTAGACCATGACAATAAGAGCGTGGAGCGAGACGGGCATGGTGGGGACAGGCGAACTGGTCGCACACCTCCTCTCCAGCCCGCGCGACACTGCGCGAATAAAGTCATCAAAACAACAACAACAGCACGAGAGCAACAACAAGATCCGTTCCCGGGAAATGCCGCGCGTCGTCCGCGCAGTCCGCGCACCTCTTCGAGATTCGAGATTCGAGAGCGAGCGACAGAGGCAGACCGGCCGGACTTGACGCACCGGAAAATGGGAATGGGAATGGGTCCCTCTGTCTCTCTCGCGTCCCCGCGGCTCGCCGGCCCGCCCCGTGAGTGCGAGAGAGAGAGACGAGGCCTGCCTGGTCCAGCGAGTCGCGTCTAGCTTATTAACGACTGAACGCCGTGCCGAGGCGGAGGGGAGGGGAGGGGGGATACCGCTGCAGTGCATGCAGATACAAGTGTTCGCTAACGCACAGGTGCATGCTGCATGTGGCCAAAGGGGAGCACCAAACGGAGAGAAAGGCTTGCAGGAAGAAGGGGGAGGGGAGGGGGGATTCCCGATTGACCGGTGGGGGCCAGGGGGGCCAGGAGGGGGCATGTGGGCACGTCGTCTGCTGGCTCGCTGGCTCTGGCTCGGCTGGCCGAGGCTGGCCGCCGCAAGAGTGTCGGATGCTGGATGCTCTCGCGGACCGCGCGGACCAGTTGGCCGGCCGCGCTCGGAGCGTGAGGTCCCCCCTGTGCCGGCGTCGTGCGTGCGTGCGTGTGAGTGCGTGTGTGTGAGTGCATCCGACAAGTGTGTGTGCGTGACCCGACGGACGGACTCTGATTGTGTGCGTGTCCGCGGTGCCCCGGCTGCCCCTGGCCGGCAGTGTCATGTGGATTAGTGAACTCCGGCCGGTGTTCGACGCGTTCGACGCGCCCCTCTCGGACCCCTAGGTACGTACTGGCGGCAGAGGCGGCTGGCGCTAGCGCTGCTGGCGCCCGGGCGGGCCCCGGCGCCGCCCCCACCCCCTGCCACCCCCGACGCCAGCGCCGCCTGGCGGCAGGGCGGCCAACACCCCCAGGTGCCGCAGGCCCCCGGCCCCGCCGTGGACGTGATTCGAATTTTTGGCGCGGATGATGGTCCTAGAAGCCCTTCGCCAGGTAAACATGGTTCCAAGTGGCGGTGCAGACTGCAGTGCGGCGCCGCCTAGATCCGAAAGGCCGGATCGGTGGCGGCGTGTCGGCGGGGCGGGCTTGCCGGGCATTGCCGGGCCGGGCGGCGTGCGGCCGGCACAACCATTAGTATCAATTCGCGTCCGCAAACTAAAGTCAGAGACCTCTGGTGGCTGAGCTGGAACTAAACATAGCGGGCGACGGAGCAGCGGGTTTTTCAAATTGGAGTTCTCTGTTTGGCCATGATTTTGTGCTTTTATTCGTATATTGCGCTTTTAAGTGAATAAAATGGGTGTGACTTTTCAAAAATAAATGCCGCTCGCTGTTGTAGAAAAACGCTGTCTTGTATCAGATGCCTTTCTAATGGCTAAGAATGAGAAAGAACGTCCAGACCTAACCTAGTCGGCATGTTGTCGGTCCGCGCCATGCCTCCGGTGGCGTCTGCTCCAAGCGCTGACACGGGGAGGAGGGGAAAAGTGGCTAAATATTAAATTTAACAAATTAGAATTGCTAAAATCACGCTCATTTGAGGTCATAGGAGTCCATAGCTTCCGTAGAGAATAAAGTCACAGACAAACATAGTATAGAATCTAACGAAAGTACATTAATAACGAAGAAAACAAGCCACCTGTTTCGAAAATGGCGGTGCTCCGTCGCACGCTATCTGGGGGCGACGGTGCTGCGCTCTCGCGTCGTTGCGGACGCGAATAGCTGCTCGTTGTCCCCCGCGGCAAGCCGCCGCCACTACACTGTCGGCCTGCCGCCCTGCCCGGCCTCGTCTGGGTTGTCCGGGTCCCACGTCCAGATCCCGTCTCCGGGATCCTCCAGGACCCTCCAGGAGGACCGCGCGTTTTTCGGCAGACTGATTTCGAGAGCCGTTGGGGGAAATAACTCCAGTCCAATTTGCACACCAAAATTCATCAATCATGTAAAATTCACTGAAATTCATCAAAATTCATCGCAATTCTACTGAAATTCGACCGAAATTCACCGAAATTTGACTGAAATTCATCGAAATTGGGCTGAAATTCATTGAAAGTCGACTGAAATTCATTCTCTCGCACTCATGGGGTGTTCTGCATGCGTGCGACCAAGGGGAAATCACTGTGAATTTCACGGTAAAAACGGTACCTGGTTTTCCCAGGAAGCCTATGGTAGAGACATAGGCGATTTCCAGGGAGTTCCTGGGAAAACCAGGAACCGTTTTTACCGTGTTCGGTGTACAAATCCGATGAATTTCAGTCGCATTTCGATCACTGAAAAAAAAGTCTAGTTACAGCAACTAGGATTTTGGTGCCAGTTACCAGACAGTCTAATTGAATAGGAACCAACAAGGAATCTAGTTACAAATACCAGACTGCCTAGTTGATATCTGTCTAGTAAAAATAACCAGATTCTTGGTAAACCTTACCATGCCATCAGACCCCCAATCTAGTAAAATTAACTAAACTTCTAGTAAAAATTTTGAATTGTAAAAAGACAAAGCAGAAGAAGAAAATGTAATTTCTCAACTCTACGCCCCCCCAAGTACGCTGGGAGATCGTAAAGCTGAGAAGAAGTATTTTCCGGTTCGCTTCTGGCCGGGATCGAACCACCGATCTTCCACTTACGAGCCAAGCTCGTTACCACTGCGCTATCACGCCACATAGGAGAGCCGAGTCTCCCCGCCCGATGACACTGCGCATCGCTTTGCCGCTCACCTGAGGCAGCTGAAGGAGTGGCATTTCCGGCTGCTAAACGGTGCTTTGGATATTGCAGGGAACCGAAGGAATTCAAGACGCATTGTTAAAATTTAGTCTATTGCAATTTTAAATTTGACGACAATTACTAAGCAGTGTAGTTAAATTTACCAGGAATATTAACTAGACGTCTGGTAAATGTTACCATACCCATGCTAGTAGATATAACTAAAAATCTAGTGAAAAATACAAGGTTTCTAGTTATTATTACCGGTGCTCGTTTAACTAGGAACAGTCTAGTACTTTTAACTAGACTTTTTTTTCAGTGAGACGGCGGCACTCGGAAGAGGAAGCGGCGAAGCGGCGGCCGGAAGTGCTCTTCTTTTCCCAGTGCACCGACGCGAAAAAACGGCAGCGGAATGATTCATCCGGTCCACATCCAATCACTCGCCTCGCGCAAGCCCTCTCCAAACGGATTATTTTATTATTTGACAACCCCGCGCTGCAAAACAAGGACTTGCACCGGGTCTTTTTGCCCGGCTCGGACCGGCCGGCCAGTAATATAATGTGCGTGCGTGTGTGTGAGCGAGAGAGAGAGAGAGAGAGAGAGAGAGAGAGAGAGAGAGAGAGAGAGAGAGAGAGAGAGAGAGAGAGAGAGAGAGAGAGAGAGAAAGAGAGAGAGAGAGAGAGAGAGGCGGAATGCACACAGGGAACGGGTCGAGGCGGCGAAGGAGGTGAAAGGGAATAAGATGAGGACGAGGAAGGAGGGGGGGGGGCGCTCGAATCGACCTTGCGGAGAATTTGGAAGGAGCCTCCGAGTACACGGGAGGAGGGGCGAAACAGTTGGAGTGCGAGAGACAGCAAACAGGTCCTAATCTGAAGCGACTGCACATCCGCAGCATGAGAGCCACCGCCTGCGGGTAGGCCACCCTGGCTGCGGCGCCGCCTTGGGGTTGCCTACCCTGGACCCTGTCTGCCACGGTGGGGTTGCCTACACTGTCTAGAGACCGCGCCGGGGGTTGCCTACCCTGTCCTGCCAGGTGCTCAGAGCATCGCAGCAGATAAACGACCTTCGCTGCGCGATTTGGTTCGATTCAGACGCATTACCTCCCGGCCTCCTGATTGGCTAGCGGCTCGCTAGGGTTGCCAACCTGAGGGAGCTTATCGCCCGTCTGCGTGGCGGGGCGGGGCGGGGCGGGGCGGGGCGTGCCCCGAGGAGCCATTGTTCATGAAGGATCGACGATTGTTATACGAGCTACCATCAACAGGTAGCGATCGGACATTAAAGGCCATTGCACGCGATCTTTTTTCTTCTTCTGCCGCCGCGCTGCCGCCGCGCCGCCGCTCCACCGGACCATTGTCTTGTAATTTGAAGCGCGGCGCGTCTATCGAAGGAGTCCGGCTTTTGTGAGTGCGGCGGCGGCAGCGCGGCGCACCGCATTCTGGACGACGAGCCGGCGTCGGCTCTTGCGTAAATATGAAGGCGGTGCGGGCCGCAGGGCGGGCAGGGCAGGGCAGGGCAGGCAGGGCTCAAGCGCGGGGCCGGGGGGCACAGCGAGGCAAAGCCGGGCCCTTGCGCCGAGCCGGTAGGCGGACGCGCCGTTAAGTTGGCAGTCCAAGCCTCCTATGAGCGGCAGCCGCGGCAGCCTGCAGCCTGCCCCACCACGCATACAGTGTACGAGTACACCGCCTTCCATTTTTCGCAGCCTTTCTGAATATTCGGCGCGGAAGGCGATGATGGCGCCAAACGAAATGCATAATGAATGGCGCCGCGCGGCGGGGCGTTTTGAATGCGAATCGGCGTTGTTACGGTGTGCCACGCCGTGCCGCGGGCCTTACGGGCACCTTGTCGTCCTGCCCGGCACTGCCGGACGAGTGGGAGGCCTCTCTCTCTCTCTCTCTCTCTCTCTCTCTCTCTCTCTCTCTCTCTCTCTCTCTCTCTCTCTCTCTCTCTCTCTCTCGCACTCATGGGGCGTCCGGTACACGTGCGAGAGAGACAGAGCGACGAGACCTCCCTTCGGGCTCAGCCGCCTGCCGGACGCACAGTGGGCCAGAAGACCGGCGCAGGCGGACAAAATTCTAGACGCGTTTCGAGCTTTAGAGTCGCTAAATGGGACTCGAACCGAACGTGTGACCCCACCAATGGATTGCTCTCCGAACGAGGAATCCATTTGGTGGGGTCACACGTTCGGTTCGAGTCCGATTTAGCGACTCTGGAGCTCGAAACGCGTCTAGAGTTTTGGCCGCCTGCGCCGGTCCTCTGGCCCACTGTGGGACGGTACCGGACGGTGGCGGACGATGGCGCATGGCGCCGCTGTCTCGCGTCCACTCGCTCTGCATTCAGAGCACCGCGTGTCCGATCGGTCCGATCGCACGGCGCCGTGGTCTCGGCGGGCTGCTGATTGATGCAACAGCGAGAGGCTTCGGGTTCGGGTGCCGAACAATGACTGGTGCTTTTCGGAAGCGCGTGCGTACGGCTTCCTCGAACTGCAGGGACCAGCGCTGTTTCTTGTTGGCGCCGATTTGGCCGCGACACACGGGATTCGAAGTCGGGGCGCGTTTCGAGAGGCTCTCATCCTCACACCCAATTAACGACTTTCCGCGGGTTCCCCGGCCGCGGCGAACTTGCTGCATCGCAGTCCTGCTTATTAGTACCGAGTGCCGGGTGTTTTTGATCACGTTGTCTGGCTTATGAGGAGAACTCGGGATTGATCGGGTTAAAAGCGCGCTTCTCGGTACTGAGCGTTGAGAAAGGTCCTCCCGTTCCGATTTTCCGGGTGTGCCATCCCGTCGACCCGACTCTAACCACCGCCTGTGTCTCGTTTGGGGAGGGATTGGTCGCGCTGTATTTTTCATCTCATCCTCCAACCCTTGCTCTCAAGCCCTCCCTCGTCGTCCATTTCTCTCCAGTGCTTGTTCAAGCGTTTGTTCCAGCACTTGCTCCAGCACTTGCTTCAGCACTTGCTCCAGCACTTGCTCCAGCACTTGCTCCAGCACTTGCTCCAGCACTTGCTCCAGCACTTGCTCCAGCACTTGCTCCAGCACTTGCTCCAGCACTTGCTCCAGCACTTGTTCCAGCACTTGGCATTTGGTCCCGTGCTC